GCCGGCACCGATCTGGCATTGCGGCTGTTTCGGCCCGGCCGAGGGCTGACGAGCCAACCCAGTTACAGTTGACTACAGCCAACACCGTCACCGTCCGCCGACGCGGTAAAATTCAAACACGCCATATATGTACATGAGCTTGAGCATACATAGGAGCGCCACTCCTGACACAATTTAGTTACCGGGAATGGTTGACCCAGACCTATTCAGCGCACAACAAAGGATATTCCATGCTCAGTATCGCTGAGCTGCTTAACAAGTAGCGACTGATAGGAAAACCGAGAACAATTACAATGATTGAATTGCATCGAAATTCGTATAATCTCAGTTTGAAAGCTAGAATCAAATTCGGCTCTTATGTCATAAAACGAATTACACAGACCTTGCATAAAATCAAATGCAAGGCTTAAGGTTTCCGAAGCTGGTTAGAGCGTTTAAAACAAGGTCCTCAAACACCTGTTCTCTTGATATTCGGAAGGCCGAACAACTGCTTTCATGGCACACCACGTCGCCTCGATTATGTTATCCCGCTGAGCACGGAGATTAAAGTACAAAACAGGCTGCCTGAAGTAATGAGGCTATTACGTTAACCTTATTATCGAAATTAGGCGACTGTTAGCGCTGGCGTTGAAATAGCGAACAAAATAGGCTAGCACATTCAGGTAAGCTTTCATATAGGTATCTCATTCCATTGCATAATAAATATGGGCAGGTAAGTATCCACTAGTCAATCATGTATGCTGGCTGCTGGGAAGGTCACTCCGTTCAGCGGTCAGCTGTCAGATGGCTGCATAAGCCAAAGGTCACTTCACCAGTCAGTACATTCACCAACACGATCTTCATAAGCCGATAACGCAAGACATCTCCGGTCGGCACTTTTCATAAACCACCTAAACCACAGAACCCGTCCTGGGTAAAAACGAGTAGGTATCCGACCGGCCGGTAGCCGGACACTTTAGAGGAGCTGAGCGCCCGCGCCTCGTCTCAGCGGCAGGTGAGCGACCCCGGTAGCCACCGGTCAGCACGAAATTCCACAAACGAGTCCGGCTGTTGGCATTGGCAGGAGCGGCCAAGTGGCCCGTCACCGTCACACGGGCCCGCCGCAGCGGGCGGGTGGCTTACGGATCAAACCGTACCAGAGATCAACAACTGGGAAACTAGCGGACACCGCGGGCACCGCGGGCGGGCGGGCTGATCACGGGCTTACTCCGGAGCCGCGAGGCGGTGGCGAGTGATCAGCACTGGGGAAACCAGTGGACACCGTGGCTGGCGGGGCGGAGCGGGAGGGGAGGGTGGGGGGCTAAATGATACCGCCGTGCAAGCGGGTGTTTGGTCAAAGCCGCTGCCTGTAGAGGTCACGTCACTGACCTTCCTTGTTTGAGGAGAACAGGTGGGATCACTGGTATGATCTATGAAGGGCTGCAGGACCACCACTACACGGACTTCGGCTCTGGAGTAAAGCATACGATCCTTTAAGGTTTCCATTTCGAAATCGCAAGTGTTTTTCCTACAATAAATTATGCACTTTACTTTTAAAAGGCGCATCCTACACATCGACGTTCTATACGGGTCGTTACTCACAATACCTTGCTCATGGTGCGTCTGGGTTCCATCATCTCCAACCACCGTCATTTACAACGGTGACGACATTCCAGGCTAAGATCCCCTGTGTGTAAAACTGCCCTTGTCTCGATAAACTGGCGGGTTTGCCGGTCCGTCCAGCTCATTACCTTTCCGGTGACACACACTGAACGCTGTAGGGGGTCCCGATGACAGAGCTGACCCCACTAATTGCGTGTGACAGGCGCGGCAGTCGTCATCTTTCCGCGACATACCAGGCCTGGCAGCGTGACACGGCGCCGTCATTTGGCACCACTGCGCCGAAATCGCCGCGAAAACGTCATCCCAGACGAGCCTATCAGCGACTGCGAGAGGGCAAAGGAGCGATCTTATACCTTTCTTTGATCGACTAATGACTGCCCACTAATCAAAGAATGAAAGAGGCTCTCAGCCATCGCCAGAAAAGATTAACGCTAGATTTAAGGATCATTGAGCGAATTAGGCCGTCACATATGATAGAATATTAAGTGTGATTGGTATTAATCGTCTCAGAGTGACCCATTTCATTGGTAATTTGTTGCACATTTTACGGCCAGATAGGTGATAAAAAGGGATGCTGTTAGCTCGCACATTCATCCACATCTACATTCTGTACTACATACATACATTTCCCTGTACACTTACTTATGTTCATATTTAGCTCCATCACTGCAGCTAAAATATATAAAACACTATGCAAAGAACAGTATACACGCATTTAACTGTACAACTGTTGAACTCCATGGCAGAGGTTCGATCAGGTGATTTTGGATAAGTCTCAATACATTTTCAGATTCATTACGCTATTTTTCACCATGTTCTTCAATACTTCGTAAATTCTTCGTTTAATTTAGCTTGGACACCACCGAAGGTGATATACACATATCAAACAGTCTGAATGTGTTTTGGACGGTTCCTGCCGATCGATGTCATACTGCTGCCAATGTAGCTCTAAGAGCAGGATAAATGTTGATCTAATACAATAATAACCGTAACTCTCACCGAACGTTATTTATAGCCACCAGTGCAAATAAACAAACCACAATAATAGGAGGGTCGATCAATCAGAGACGTTGGGCTGATCATGGCCGTCAGTCAGCTCAGGACACGGGCGAGGGCGGTGACACGGCTGCACAACACACTGCAGTCTTAACTCGTCACTGTGACAGCTCACGGCAAGCCATATACCACTACCAAACTTTTACATCCCCGCATTGACACGGAAGGCTTACTCGTTTGGCAAGCAATTCTGGACTGTTGTTATTAATACTCTTCTTAGAAAAAGTAACTTTCCGAAAATCCGCCGCCGGCAATTTCCCACGAGGATGCCGCGGGCGCAGTTTTTTTCTGGGTTGCGCGGGCTTTCTTAGCACTGATCACGTCTGAAACTAATTGAACTGGCGCCGCTGCTGGCCGTCCAATGAATAAATAATCCGTCGACACGCGGCTCGGCTCAGCCCGGGCCCCTCCTGTTGACGCGCCGCGCCGGGACGCAAACAAACCTTACACCACCGCCGCCGGAGGGGACAGCCGCCGCCGCCGCCGCGACAACCCGACTTCAATTCTCTGCCGAGCTGGTTGAAGAAGAGCGACATCGGCATAAACATTCGTGAGCATAAAAAACACTTTTATTTATTACTAGCCATCAATTTCCAAGAATGAATACGGAAATAATATTTCAGTTGCGAACGTTATCAAGTTTTGACGATATCCTGCGCCCGTGTTTCAGAGGAAGGTGATGCAATTAACTGGGACGCTCTCAGATACATAAATTCCAGATGCACGCATAATTTAGGAGCCGCCTCATACTGTCGCTCAGAATTATCAGAAAACTGACGTTAATATAAATGCAGCTTCTGGTCCGAAGGGGCGCCAGGTGTTTTCCAGGGCCCAGCCGCTTCGGCCTGTCCCGTTTCAATTCAGCGCACAGCCAGAATGACGGAATGAAAAATAGTGGGGGGCAGCTGGTGCGAATGGTGGCCCGTAAACTGGCCGCCGGCCCGCCGCGCAGCCCGACATAACGTCCAGCTAGCTGACATCGATTGGAGACAGTCTGAGATATGACAGACATGATTCATGCATAATATTATTAGATGAGCCGCCATGACGTTAGTACTTCTTCTGAGACGTAATTGCTTAATCAACCAAGCACTAAATCGCATGCCTAAGGCCGACCTATACAAGAATGAACAAGAAATATGCTCAACTTGCTCAGCTTGCAAGCCTTGCAGGCATGTAAGGGAATTAAATAAGATCGCAAATCGAGTGCAAATGTTGAAACCAATTTGCTGAATGTTGCTGCTTCTCATTAACATTAGCTATTTAAATAGCAGGGCACATGATGCACAGCTATTCTGCCGGTTCCTCCAAATTCCACAAGGTACCGCTTGTGCAGGGCCAGTATGCATTGAGGTCAATCACACGTTTGGTCATCCACGATGAAAATTGCAGCACAACGGGACGATTAAAAAAAGTTTTAAAGCTCATTGATAGTTCATAGCAATTGCCGCATTGGAGCCGTCCAATGTAGTGAGTCGCAACCGAATGTTGGCATTGGTTCGGCCACGGATCTCGCAAGGTCCGGCAGTAGGCTGATTAGTTTTTCACGTGGAGGGCAGCAGCAGTGCGCGCGCTCTCCGATGATAGTTTCAGCATGTCAGCATAATATAGAAGAATAAATTAACAAATAAAAGATTCATCAAATGTCTTATTTCAATTCAAATTTACTTCAAATCCTGTCCAGGATATGCAATCCCGTATAGGTGGATGCGCTTTTGCTGGGTAATACAAAGCACACACCGTTTTGCTAATTGGCTGTGCCGTGTTATACGGGCGCTGAGAAATGTGACACGGGCACGCCCACGGATCTGCGGAGTGCGGACCGTCTGAGAAAGAGAACGAAGGAAGATGGCGTAATGCACATCATGAACAGTGGACATCTGCCGTACTGAGACCTCACAAGGTGGTACGAGCAACGAGTTTTGTACGAGCAACAAGTTCTGTAATGACATTTTGCAATCTTAAGTTTTGAATTTAATTTAATGTAAAGTATAAGATTAATATTAACAACATAACATTATATTATCAAAATCAAGTTATACAATATAAATTCAAATTCAGCACGCTTCTGAGTGGAAATTGTTATTTTTTATTCTAGTTTCGGTCAGCTTTGTCAGTTATCATTCCGAGAGCTATTCAGGCAATCCGTTTTGCTGCTTATTTTTCTAACCCGCTTTACCGTGCCCGAGTTGCCCGCAACCTGTTGTGTTCGTGGCCCATTTCATGCAGCCGCTACTATCCCACTGTGCCCTGATTCCGTTTCACCTGACCGCACATCCGCTCTGCTCTGCTCCGCCCTCCCGTCCGGTGCGCTCGTGTGACCGGTGTTTCCTGCCCCACAGAGAAGCCACCGTCCGAGGCCACATTCCGCGGCGCCGAGTACATGACCTACGACCTCACCAACACGGGCGGCGGCGCCATCGCCAGCACCAGCGACAACCTCTCCATGTTCTTCAAGACGGCGCAGCCCAACGGTCTCCTCTTCTACACAGGTAAGGGGCGCAGTTGTCAGAAACATGAATACATAGCAAACGCCTAGACTAGCGCCTGGTGCACTCGCTCCATAAACTGATGGAAACCATGTTTAGCATTATTGCAACACATATTTTGAAGCATAATTGTACAATGTCTTGCTTCGATACTGCATTGGAATGAGTTATAACAGCAAAGTTCACAGCGGGTTATAAACTCCTTTTGACTGCGGCTTATTTTTCAAATAAAAGGGGAATTATATGAAATGACACAGCAGTCGGCGGCCTAACTAGCATGCATGCACCATGCATACTAACAAGACCATATGGTCCAAACGATGTCGTGAACATGTGAAATAACACAGCACAGGATATTACTTCCTTATGCAGTTCGTGGGCCATTTTCCAGCTTATCACCTCACTAAAACCCAGTGGCAGTCATGTCTGGTTACCATTCACCACAGTCCCTCATTATTATCATGACTTAAAATGGGTAACTTCGGCCCGTGTCCCCACATTCCTATTTCGAGCTGTACCTCATGCTCTTTGCACGGGGCAGTCATGGCCCTTACTCGACTGATCTGCTGTCTTTAAAAACCAGGTCGACCGGGTGACTCCTCTCCGTGCAATGCACTGCACCCTATCCTCGATGTATGTTGACGGAATCAAAGACGGGTGTTTGTGTAGTTAGCTTCACCCCCCCCCCCCCCGTCCTGTTACAATCGGTCACGGAGCACCGCTGGCCAGCCTCCGTCAAATGAAAAATGCATCTTGGCTACACCACCACAACGGCATTGAGTTTAGTCCAACCTCCAACTAAGCTGCATCAAATGAGGAGAACCAAGCTCTACCAGCATCAAGTACCTTCGACAACAGAATGACCGAGGGACAAAACATTCTGTCCTGCGGATGGAGAGGCTGAAGCGGATGTTCTGACCTGCGGATGGGGAGGCTGATCAGTACTTATAGCGTTCTATACCATCCTCACTGGCCTCCTGATGGGCCCCTCTCCGTCGCGGCAGAGGTTGCTCAGCACAGGTCCCGGGACAAAACAGCGTCCGTCGAGGACAGCGACCCTGCACGGCGATGTGGTGTGACTGACGTAGGCCCGTTTAAATTAGATTAGGCAGCTCAGTTGGGCGGCAGCCGGTCTAATTCGGGCCGGGGGCGTCACTGTGGTGCTGGCTCTATTGCTGGCCGCGAGACGAGTGACGAAGTCGGACGGATCAGCAGCGTGGCAGCGGACCAGGCACCAACAGTAACACACGCTGCCCCCCTCCCCGAGCACGGCCCCGCCCCGCTGGGTAAGGGGGCGGCAACCACAGCACCGCCAGACTCCGCGAGTGCGATGGAAAAATACGTGCATTTTGAACTGAGAATTGTAAAGCCTCTTCAAAAAGTGATGGCAATTTCAGCAACAGGTTGATTTTACAATCAACTTATCAAATTAAAAAAAAAAACACAAAAAAAATATAAGAAGCCTTTAGGAATTTTGGGAAAGGATTGGCATCCGGTTGCAGGACAACAACTCTATTGAAACTCAGGAACTCAGGTCTCAGGACAACAACTGACCTAGGATGAATATCCCTAGTTGAAATGATTTCCCATATTTTGCCAAGCCAACATATGTTTTACGGACAAATGACAATAAATATAAAAAGTAATTAATTTCAATAGAGCGTTGAATACACTCGAGTACGAAAATGCCTGAAATTTAACAACAATCAATCATTATAACATCAATCTTAAATCAATTTCATGACAAAATATAGAGCCAAACATAGCGATTAACTCCTGCTCCTTTCCGACCAGGGAGTACATACGGGCCAGTTGACCGGGACTCGTGCAGAGGAGCCGGGGAGATGGGGCGGGGCCGCGGGGTGCAGGGAGAAGGAAGCGCCGGCCGGGGAGGGACGGCACGCAGCGTGTATTGATTGCCGGGTAATCGGCCGAGCGGGACCGAGTGACCCGCCAACACCGCCCAACAGCACCAGGGGGGGGGGGGAGGGCTGCTCCCGCGGGACCAGAGACACGGGTTCGGTGATTACAGAGACCCGGCAGTGTTCACCCAGGGTGCTGATTGAGTAAGAGTTACGCGGACATTTTTAAACAGGATAGAAGGGCTGACAAAACTGATGAATCAGATGAATATAACGGTGAGCGTGTCATGCCTGTGACGACTGAAACAGCATGCGAGCAACAGCAGTGACAGGAAAAACAAACTCACAGAAAACAATGTAAAAGGATGCCACCATCTATCTCCTAGCAGTTACGACCTGAGGACGGATGCTGTCGGCTCCACAGCATGTGAACCACAGACTACTTGGTCTGTGGCCCGACATAAGTCCGTCCGTTGGGGACCGTCAGAGACGCTCCCTCACACCCCGAGACAATACTGGGATCACGACCTGTCACCCGGGACCGGCCGGCGTCCGGGCGACCCCGTGATGGATCCGTGCGACCCCCGTGATGGATCCGGGCGCACTGTGATGGATCCGGGGATACCGTGGTCACCGCCGGCCTACCACCGGTCTGTCCGGCTCAGAGGGCTGTCATCCCCAGACGGGCATTGGACGACATTGGACGAGCGCTGAATAAGAGACCGACGGATATACACGGCAGGGCATGCCGTAGCTGAAGAACCAATAGCACTCAGGATGAATGGTCGTTGCGCCGGCGGATTGGCCCGGGCAATGTGGCAGACAGAGCCTATCAGAGACTATTGCAGCCACTGCTCCGAGCCGGATATTACCAGCCGCTCGCAATGAATGGGTCGATGAATGCAGATCAATGAACAAGTTCCAATGAAAAGAGCCTTGTGACCAAATTGTGACCGAATCTGTTTGGACACGAGCCAAAATCAACACTGCTGGGCTAATGACGGATTATCCATGAGTTTCTGTCGCGCTGCGACGCACAAACACAAAGAAACACACCAGTAGTCGGCCAATGAGGAGCCTCGTGGCCTCTGGCCCGGTCGATCCAGACGGCCCCCGAATTGCCGGAGGCGGTCACGTGACCGGTGCAGGTCAGTGTGGTCGCGGGGGGAGGGCGGGGAGCGGGCGGCGCCAGGCCCACCCACACAGAATGCCACTTTTGCGGACAATGTGGGCAGCTGGACTCGCTGTTCAGCTGCCCATGGTTTTCGTAGAACAGACTGAGAATCCTCAGACATGGTTATGGTCTCATTTGCATGTAAATTGCAAATTAAGCTTGCCCTCAAGCATGTGTGTTCCAGTAATTCGCTTCAGGAATGAAACGCTACAGTTTTGGAGGTTGTTCAGAGATATAACACAGCGTTCTGCGGCACAATGACTCAGGCTCCACCACGGCGCCGGCGGATGTTTTGTGATCTGCGCCGAAATAACCGAACGCATATAACTCACATAACCTACCCAATATATATAGTTTATCAATTAAAATACCCACAGGAACCCAATGACTGTTGGCAAAAGGTATTTTAAATCATTTCTCAATAAACCCTGACGTATTTTACATTATCTCAATGAGCGTTTATGCGTGCGGGTTGAGAGATGATCCGAATATGACCGCTAATGTGGCCCGATCTGCTTGCTTTTCGCAAGGGACGGAGACGATTCCCTCCCACAGTTGGTTGATATGGACTCTGTTTTCGCAGGGGACGGCGACGACTACATGACGCTGTCTCTGATGGACGGCGGTATCAGTCTGGCCGTCAGTCTCGGCAGCGGGGCGCTGCGCTCCAAGGTGAGACCCCGTCACTCAGAACTATCTGCGCCGGGCGCTGTGACACCGCCCGGAGGGGTATATCGGCCACTGACAGCGGGGTATCGGGCCAGTCAGTGCTGGTTAGTGCTGTGTAACTAGCACTGGCCGGCGAGGTATCTGACCGCTGTCAACGCCAGTCGGGGCTGTAACGCCGCACCGGCTGGCGGACTAGCCATGACAAAGTGGCACCGACCGATGGGGGTAGCGGGCTATCGAGCCAGCCAGCGCTGTTCTATGCGAATTTTCGGCCGACACCTTGCCACTGTCAGCGCCGTTCAGAGCGGGCCGGCGAGTGACACGCTCTCAGCTCAGCGCTCGGCCGCGAGCCGCCGCGGCTGTTTAACGCGCGGCGCGCGGCGGCCGCTGACAGCCCGTTGACAGACGGGTGGCCGGTGACAGTCGCTGACAGACTGCGGCGCCCACGACAGACACGGCACCGGGGGCCACGCCACCTTCTGCGTAATTACACGAGAAAATGCGGCGTCGGTAGCAATTATGACGGAGGAGCAAAGGGAAGCATAAAAATGTTAATTGATATTGAAACGGGCTAAGTAAGCGAAATAGAGCTTGACGGATTTCGTCCACATAGACCAATGACGATTTATGACAATCTATCCGAATGTTTTGCTCCGCACGATTATAACGATCAAGCTCATTCGCAACGCTATAGATGAAAAGGGCACTGAACAAGACGAAGGATTAGTAAAAACAGACCCTATCGTTTCGGGCACACCACGTCAGTATAAAGGACAATGTCATAGATTTTCTTCGTTCTTCACTAATCCACATCTAAAACACCAACTAGTTTCATCTCATTGAAATAGCCACTGCCCATCTCACGCCACCAAATCGTTTCTGCGGCGCCGGCGACTCACGCCCCACCTCGGCTGAGCGGTTGCCCGCGGCGCGGACCGGTCGGCAGGCGGTCGGCGGTCGGTCGTCGGTGACCGATGCGGCTGTTAGCCGGGCTGACACGGCGCCTGCTGTCATATCGGCCCCCGGAGACGGGTGCCGAGCCGAGATCTGCCGCGCCGCGCCGCGGGGCGCCGCCGCACGCCGTCGAGCCGTGCCCGGGCGGCACCTTGCCAGCCGCGGCGACGCCCAGGCCACGGGCGGGGGCATCGTCATCCAAGCCCGGACCGACCGGAGCGTCGTCAAAAGGACGGGTTAGAACACCTTCATCCAGCTCGAAACGAATGTATAGGCACCGCCAACACTATCCATGCCACGTAGAGGACCCTTCTACGTCGGGGAACTGCTCAATGCGTAAAGCTCCTCTCCGAACTGCGTGTGGCGAGATTGATTTGCCCAGGTCAAGGACGCCCGCGCTCGTCCGTCGCTGTCGCCGACACGCCACAAACGTCGCAGCCTTGTGCCAGTATAAATAAGCGCTTGTGCATGGCTGACCTTATGATTGACGGTGACTGGCCGTGACGACATGGGCACGGGGTGTGACGGCGGCACTGCCAGACCGGCCGCCGGGGGTCGCAGTCGAGACCGACAGAGAACGTCGGCTCCGACAGAGTCATCAGGGGACGGGTCAACGAACGGAGGACGGGTCATCGGACGGAGGGCGAGGAGTGGGCCGACGAGGGCGTCCGGAGACCAGTGATGGAGTGCTTATGGAAACGAGGCGTCACGAGAAAAGCAATAAAACATTACCTAATCAGAAATACCTAATTAGGGTTGATGACGCCGATAAATGTGGGGAGCACATTTCGAAAAGAATGGTTGATCAGTATGAAGTCTTGTGTTTTCAAAGAGCGAGATGTTGAGAATATTCATATTTTTAGGTAATTCTGTAAAAGGTAAAAAAGGTCTTCATAAACACTTATTTTTAATAGTTGAGGAACGGGTCTGTACAAAACCTTGCTAAAGCTTCTAGTATTTATCAAAATTCCCACACTTCCAGAAACATAGATTCAGATTTACTCATCTATAACTTATCTCATATGGTTCAGAGAAATGAGCTAGCATCATCTTTCGACGGAACAGTACCCATTGCTTGACACTCGCGCACAACAGCCCAGGTACTTTCCATAATACACCATATCTCACGTCTTGAATCGCCGCGCTGGTGCGTGCCTGCACACATAAGCTCCGTGTTTTCGCGAGCGGCGTCGTTTCGGACGCGGAGGGTGACAGGATGTGTGGGATTACCCTCGGAACCCGGCCGCGTCGCGCCGGACGAGCAGACGCACCACACCGGGCCGTCGACGGATTTGCATCGCGGATTCAGATCGGTATCGCGGCGAGATGACAGGCGCATCGCGGATGAGCGATGAGCCGAGCCGGCGAACGGAATGATAAATGAAGGTCAACACACCGCAGAAGACGACGCCGGCGAGAAGATAAACAACGCCCGAGTTTCTCGACTGTTAGTCTCGCTAAGACGAAAAGGTCAAGGTCGTTCCGTTTCTTCTGTATGCCAAAGCCCGACACTAAATGCGGTTGAAGTTCGTCAGTCTTTTTTATTTGGACGCTCTCAGATGTAATTTTGGCAGTCGTGGGAAGGGCTGGAAAGCTGCTTCAAAGTTGGCGGGATTGATGCACGCATAATGTCGTCTGTCCAGTGTTCCGTGACAGCAGAGTCGGGTCCGTGATCACAGGATCTTACTCCATTACCACAGCCCAATGTTCCGTGACTGCAAGGTCGTGTTCTGTTACCAAATCTGTGTTTTGTTCTGCGACTACATGCTCGTGTTCCATTATCACAGTCCAGTACTCCGTCGTGACCAATGCCATGCTTCGTGAGCCCACAGTCCAGTGCTCCGTTATCAAATTCTGCTGCTCCGTGACGGCAGGATCGTGCCACATTGCCAGTCTTGTGTTCCGTGACTGCAAAGTTAAATTTCGTAACTGCAGACCAGTGCTCTGTGAGCACAGTCCTGTGTTCCGCGAGCAGTGTCCCGTGACCAGAGTCCAGTGCTTCGTGACAAAAGTCCAATGTTCCGTGACCACGAGGTCGTGTTCCGTGATCAATCCAATGTTCCGTGAACCCGGATCCTGTGTTCCGTGACTACAAGGCCGTGTTCCATTTGCACAGTCCAGTGTTCCGTTACTGCAAAGCCATGTTTCGTGACCGCAGTGCAGTGTTCCATTACCACAATCCAGTGCTCCGTGACTGCAGTGTCATGTTTCGTGACCGCAGTCCCGTGTTCCGTGACCGTCCGGCTCGGCACGGAGCGCCGTCTGCACGAGCAGCCAATGAATCTTCCGGCGGGATTATTGGTTCGAGCGCGGCGCCGGCGACCCGAGCTCCACACCAATAAAGGGCCGTCCAATAGCGGCACTGCCGGCCGGCGCGCGGCCGTCCGGCGCCACCAGATTGTAGCGTGAGCCTTTTCCAGAACGGCTCCCTCAGCCGGGCCATCACGGTTGATGGGCCACCGACAATGCGCTCCTCAGTAGCCCAGCACACTAAGATGTCGGCCACCCACCGCGGTAGCAGTGTTTACAGCACCTGTTGTCCGAGGACAGTCCTGCCGACATACCAAGTACCCAAACCACGATGTGTTGATGTGTTTGTCCCCGAGTCTCGCCAACAGTTCAGTTTTGTTTGTTTACGTATACTTTGACTGACTATTTCTCACCGTCTCTACTTCGCACAGGTGCGCCCGGTCGGAGTCAGTTTCCATGACGACCAGTGGCACAAGGTCACCGTCAACAGGATGGCCAAAGAGGTAAGGATGACCTACCTGAGGTCACCACTTTCTCGACCTGTCTCCTGCCCTAAGCGAGCGCCGGGAGTCGCGCTCAACTAACACACGAAAGCATGCTTGCAGCCTGGCACAGGCTACACCTTCTTTGTGTGAGCGTTTGTACAGATAACTTTTCATCACTTCCCAGCATTCTCCTAATTGTTAAACTTGTAACTTATTTCTAACGTTAAATGATGCCTATCGGAGCCTGCGAGGGCGGCTGGTAAAATATGAGTGGGCCATTTCTGACGACCAAAGTCAGGTCACCGCGATCACGAGAAAGAGCTAGGTGGGGACAATGAAGTGAGAGCCGTCCTCACCGAAAAGAGTCGCATAGAATGGTCCCACAGTAAATGGATGATTGAGAAGGACACTTGGGATGTTTAATCACTGGAAGAGCATTGTTAGATACTACACAATATGTGGACAATAAAAAAAAACTTATCTCAGTAGCACTTGCTGATCTGGCAGAGTATGGTTTAATGACGCGAGGTTCCAGCTAAAGCCAAAGAGGGATTGAACGGGATAGGTACAGCAAATCTCTGCTGCTCCGAATAGAGCCATTATCACATGTAGAGGTATGCCAATGGCTCTATGCCAATTAAAAAGAAAAAGGAAAAACAGTAAAATTGTTTGCGACAATCGACATCAATTCAACTCATGTAAACATTTTTGTAAAAAGTTGTTTATAAGCAACAAGTGAACGATGCTTACAGGTGATTGTACTGTTTTGCTTGACATTGTGGTCGTTGACGTCAACACTTCAGCTTTCACTCTCTTCTGCATGAAAAACACGATAACATCATCTTTGTAAGAAACACTGATGCTACTAATGCCTTGCCTTGCCTAAGACTTTGTCAGGTCTCAATTTTCAGCGTGTCTGTTTGTGTGTGCGTGTGTGTGTGTCTGTGTTGTGTCGGCGTGCCTCGCTAACGAACCGGCGGGCTTGTGCGCTTCGCTGGGAGCCGCGCGCACAGCTACCGGCCGAACCTGACACAATGGCTTTTTCTTTGGCTGCCGCAGCTCGTGGGCTCCGGACACAGCGTTTGCTATGTAAGTACCGCGCATTGCGGCAAATGTGTGCTCTCTGAGTACGGTCGATGGAAATGTGCTTTGTATCTAACGCAGGAATATGTGGTAATGAACAGTTTGCCATAAGCAATAAGCATTGACTGTCGGACGGTCGATAAACCGCATAATGTAATGTCCCTTTCCATCCTGCAATACGTTTACCATTATCCCCACAAAGACTATCACAGTTCACTTCAACAGTCAAATACGTCGAGCCAATTTCAGGATTATCCGAGAGCCAGCAACTTGATGGCCACTCAGGATGACACTTGTGAAATGTCTCTCGATACCTGTAACCTGGCCACGTCTCTGGAGGCGTATGACGTCATTCATTTCTCTCCGGAGTTCCCTGTTCATCCGCAGCATAGCTCAGACGTCAGCGAGTGCGAAATCCCTGTAACTGATCAGCTGGGTAGCTCAAGCTGTCATACCCACCACCAATCGCCAACAGCGTCCCAGATCTCGCCTGGAAAGACCGCGTCCCATCCCGCGCTCTCTGGGTATTCCCCGGGTCCGTCCCAGTGCAGCGAGGTCACCGCCTCGTCACTTGTCAGGTCCGCCGGGTCGGGCGGGAGGCTCCGCGGGTATGCCAGGTGATGGTCAGATGGAGGGAATTGGGACAGCTGCTCCATGGAGAAGATAGCTTGGGTTTTCCTCGTGTATAGTTGTGTGTCAGAGGTATATGATGAGGACGTGTTGCGCAACGGAAAGCCCGACAGTTACGAAATGCCTGGCGTTGTTCGGCATACATGTAAATAGTAACCGGAAAAATTCGTAAAAACTGCGTTATCTAGGTCTAATCTCAACCATAAAATATCCTTATGACATCAATGAGTCATCCGGATGGTCAATGAGTACGCTTCGGGTGACTTTTAAGTGTCATCCGCTGGCTGACCTTCGAGCGTACCCGGGTGACCTCCGAGTGACCCAGAGCGCCCCGTCCCCTGTACCGTCGCCACACGGGACGCCTGCGGCTGACCGGGCGGTGACCAATGGGCCCACTCGGAGGGGGCGGGGTGCGGTCCCCGGGCACCCACCCACCACCCCTAACGAGGCCGCGGCGACCCCACTGACACGGTGTGACCGATGGCCGGCGGCCGCGGCCCGGCCGTCACCGCCAGCGCCGGCCACAGACCGATGGCCGGCGCCGCACGGGTGCTTCAGAGCTGACCACGCCCTGCGCGGCACGCCACGAGCGGCGACACTCCTTCAGCCGGCGACAGCGGCCCAACAGCAGCTCCTTCACAGAGAACTGGTGGCGCCAGAGGGCCCGGACAGTGGTTCTGAGAGGTGGAGTGGAGTTGACAGGTGACCGAGGAGGTCCCTCTCGGAGGGAGCTGCTGGTGACTCGGACACGGTGTCCCGATGAGAGAACGGCTGATATACAGCCCGGAGAAATGCTCATTCAATGACAGATAATGAGAACACTTGGAAATCTAGGCAGATGACGATGGAACCAGGAAATGTCACTGCAAATCAGAATGTTACATCGTATTTATGAAACACACCAAACATGTATAGAAGCTTGTTCAATTGTGTTCGGTCTAAAGGGCTTCACTAGTTTTCTATTTCGCTGAATCACTTCAGCACATTTGAAACATTCTGCTAAAGTTGTCCAGAGCACATTCATTAAAACTTGCCGAGCGGAAAACAGTTGCGTCGCTGCCTGATGACGCATAATGTGGACCGAAATGAGTTCGCTGTCTGCCGCGCCAGACACTGTCATCTCCGCTCGGCGCTGCCGGCAGTAATGATGGCTTCACTCGGGCGGCCCATTGGACTCGTAAGGGGCCGTCCACTCCGGCCGGGAGGCCCCGCCAGACGCTGCAGACAGGCCGACTGGTACATGGAGCCCGCTACTGGTTCTGTGCAATACTTACAGTGACCTAACAGACTGAGCAGCGAGAGTCGCATACGCTGATGCATTGGACGATGTTAGGTCGAATGCAAATAAGAATGGACGTGGAAAGGGCCAGCTAACGCGGCTTGCCATAAATAGCGCATTGGCATGAATGCTGGTCACGCGAGGAGTTTGTATGTACCATACCAACTCGTGCAAACTCAGATTACGTGACGCTTGAAGCTGACTCCCGAGGAACCGGAGACTATTCGATGATCAGTCTGCGAACCTGGTGCCGAGTCGGCATACGACGCAATCAGCCCTCAGAACCGACAGTTTTGCTGACGGAAGGTGAATAAAGCGGGGCTCGTCAGCGAACTAGACAGGTGGCAAATTCAGGACATCTTCAACCAATAGAACAGACCAGTCTTGTTTTCATTCAGCTCTGATGATGCTGATGCTCTGATGATGATGTTATATTATGAGTTGAACATTTAAACAGGCCCGGTACTGTCAGGCAGTGTCAGTTGCGAGCGGACATCTCACTGCTGGCAGAGTCTCTCAGCTAAATATTAATGAGAGATGCCGGTGATATTAATGACCTAGCATGCGACACACCAGCATGAATATTAATCTATCTGGCGACATAGGCAAAACACTGTGTGCGAGGCAGTCCTGGCATAAGATTCGGCCTCCGGAAACAGCGCATTGTTTACGAGTCCACAGGTCATGATTCGTACCCAGAAACCTGTCCAGAAGCATTGGCATAAGCCTCTCTTTCGTAGAATTAAATATGCGTGTATTTATGTATGTGAACAGTGTATACGCAGTGCACCTCGGTCCTCCACACGTATCAAAAAGATATACTTAATTGACGAGCAATCAAATTTCTTCATGGATTGCAGCATTTTACCTCACAAAAATGAAGATGACATTCGTTCTCGGAAAAAAAAACAATATTCACACAGTAAAAGGGATGAAGGGATTAATTAAAAAAGGAACGCTTTTAAGAGGCATCATGGATAAAAAAATAGGAGCCCTAACTGAGCCACTGCCTACATGACTACGTTTACAAATAACCACCACTAAGTCCTGCTGACTCGAGCCACGACATCCCCTGCGACCGGAATTTCGCACCCAAAGACGTATGTACCCTTCTAACACCGTAACAGAACTCCGCAGATATCCCCTGGCCCAAACCGACGCATCCCTCTGACTCGACCTAGCCGATGCACCTGTGGTCCGAAGTATAGCAAAGACCGTCCCCGCTGACCCCCACCGCGCCCTCAGGTGTCTATCAACGTGGACGGCGTGTACACGGAGCGGGGCACCACGTCTGGACCCTTCACCTACCTCACGTCGTCGCGGCTCTTCGTGGCCGGCAGTAACGACACGTCCAGTCTGCCCGGCAGCCAGGCGCGACACAACTTCGTCGGCTGTCTCAGGAAGGTGGGTGTACCGGCGCGGCTACGCAGCCCTGCGGGGGAGGCGATGTATGGTCTGAGCGGAGCACGGCTTTCAGTCTCTGCGGTCCCTATCGGCAGCTTCTGACTGCAGCCAAAGGTCGCCGAATGGCGGTCCTAGGTCTCAGTGGACCCGGTGTGGCCACTGCTCAGAGTTGGGATTCTAAAGGTCACCCACGGGGCCGCAAGGGAAAATGTGGCGCCGAATGTACCGAACTTCTTGATATCAGAGTAGATATATGGGGCGTATAAAAGTCACTTGTAATGAAAGTTTAAAGTAGTAGAGAATAACATTTTCGGGAAATAATATCGCAGGCACGAATAAACATAAATCAGACAGCAAAAGAGAAAAGAAAAAGCGTAATTGTCATTAGAGGGATGCCCATGACAAGAACACAGCAGTTGCCATTTCAGAGGCGTTTATTTGCATTCAGCATCATTCCCAAGCAGAATCCTATTCTCATATATCTACCTGCGGGGTAAGCAGGCAGGGTCCGCCCCACTACTGGCGGAACGGGATGGTCAGCAGTCAGCACACTGCCTGACGTGGGTGGGTGAAACGAGAGCCATGCCCATTGTCGACTCTGCTTAGCATAGGTAGCCCGACCCATCCATACACACTTCGACCACGGCCTGACCCCTTCTCTATTCACCATGTTTCAGGTCGAGTACCGGGCCGACTCACTGCACCTGGACCTGATCGAACTGAGCCGCACCGGTAACCCGCTGATAGCCGTCCAGGGACGGGTCGAATACATGTGCCAGAGCATCGAGGCGGCCGACCCCGTGTCCTTCGCGTCCCGCGGCTCCTACCTGGTGAGTGGGGGCGACGTGCTGAACATCCTTCGCGTCCCGCGGCTCCTACCTGGTCAGTGAGGGAGAACTGGACGTGCTGAACGAACTGTTGGTGTCAGGGTTTTGTCTTCTTTGTCCCAGCAGGCTCCCGACAGGGGCTCGACTGGCGGTGTAGCTTCAGGGGTCTAGGTTATGAGCCGTTATGTTACCATGTTTGTAGTCTTCATGCTAGCAAAGTGCCAAACTGCTTTCAGGTGCTGTTTTCTTTTGTACATTTAAGTTCAACCATTTTCTTTGTAGGCTGCTTACGACAGGTGTTTAGTCATCTTTTTTCTCCCCGTAAAGGACGACCTGTGGTGACTCTTACACTCCATTATTTGATGAACTAGACAGTCACTGGGTTCCTCGAAACTTTGATCATGCAAGCATGTAAAGAATTAAGCAATATTTAAAGTAAATTAGCGTCTTACTATTACCAAAGTTACCAGAAGTTAATTACAAGACGGCAGTTACATTTGTAATTGCAGATATGATACGTCTGCCATGTAATCCAATCCCATTGTAAAAGAACATGGTGCAATGCATTATCAATCCATTAGCAGACTCAACAAATGCACTTACATCGCGGTCGACTATGACCATGAAAGCTACAAAGCTGTCAGACGCTGTAATTCACTTTAACTGGAACAAATAGTCCATGCGGCCACGTCAACAAACGTGGACCAGCGTTCGCTGTCCCGTCACCTTAGTCAGCAGTATCACGGTTATCCCACTGGTCACCCTCTGAGGCCTGGATGGACCCGGTCTCCAGCACATAGCACACAACGTCTGTCAGTGCCCCCTTGTCTGCCGGAGCTGTTCCGTGGCGCCTGCCGCGGTCGCCTGTCTGCCAGAGCTCGTATAGTGCCGCCCACGTCGGGCCATGGTCGCCGATATATACGACAGGAGCAGGTGTTGCCGAGCCGAGACAATATGCCCCACACTGTCAGCGAGAGACCAGAGGCGTCCGCCGGCCCGGCTGCGGCCTCTCGCCTGTGTAATTGGTCTGCTGAGGTGGCTCTTCCTCTACAATGGCAGCTGCGCTCGTTAAATGATCTCCAAACCCTCAACCTCAGACAGCGGAGGAGAGATGAGCCCGCCAGTGAAAGGCTCAGTGAACATTTGCTGAAGCGCCCGGTCACAAAGAACGCCAACAAAGGCGGACCATCCATGATCTTGTGAGGGGTGCGGCCGTTGGCGGTGCGGCTGAGTCACCCGGGGCCGTCTGCAGAGCGGGGTCACGTCGGTCGGTGACCTCCGGGCCGGGTCCGGGCCGGTCTCCGTCCCCTCAGCCTGCCTCACTCGATCGCTGGCCGGGCCGGCAGCAGTGCGGCCTGAGACCCATCGATCGACATCGGCCGCCGGCCCGCTATAGTGGCGGTGCCGTCAAACTTTGTGACGGCCGAACCCCTCTGCCCCAGCAATCCTAGCTGCCCAACAGCTCCGCGCTTTCTACCAGTTCTGTCGGCCACTGATTCCGCTGGCCTAGTTTCGTTAACTGCTTTACACAATCACCCGCCGCTGACCGCTGAACTCTCAGTGCCTTTCCCACGGCCGTGCAGTGGGGCCATCTTTCACTTCGACTGGGCGCAATGGCTGGTGCCAATGGTCCTCAGACCCTTCAGGTACTCTTGTCCGCTGAAGATACTCTTTTCTGTCCATCATTAGCGTGGTGAGCTACCGAGTCGCAGAAGGGGATGTCGCTCACATTTAAGCTATGACATTTTCTTATAAAAAGGTCCTATAGTCGGTCAAGTGCGTATGATGCCCTTAAAGTGGTCCCAGTTTAAATAGCTTGCAGCTTTCCTCGCTGCGTCTATACATGGGCGACGACCTGATGTACGACTTCCAAGTTCCAACAGCACATCACACTGTGACACAGTCTCTTCCAAAACCACCGCTCCCATTCTTGCAGCGCGGCCATACCATACCCGCCCAATGAATCGCGACCGAGGACAGGATTTCGGTATCGGCACTGTCGTACGGACGATAGCACACACGTGAAGTTGTGGCGGCCTCCCGAAGGCCGATAAGCGTCGTTAGGTCTGACGCGCGGCGTCCCGGAGACCCAGTCAACATCGATCTCCCTGTCTGGGCGGCAGACGCGGGTCTCATCCTGATTTCAGCTAGCAGTGCGCCCCAGCCGGGAGACATACGAAGGTGGAGGAAGATGAGTTTTGGGATGTGGGTGCCACCACACTTCACCGTAAGAAAAATTTCAAAATAGAGCAGTAACTTCCATAGAAAAATGTACCTAATTATTAATCCAGTAGGTCATCTAAGGACAATGAAACAAGAAATCGGCAGCCTCTGAAATGTTCAAAGCACTCCATTCGCCAGCACAAACACATTGCTCATATAGCAGTGGCGGGACATCTGACGGCCGTCTCTGGCCACGGCTGACTTCCTGAATACGGCGCCGACCGGCTATCGCAGCCGGCACCGGCACCGGCACGTCCTGATCAGAGGGCCGCGCGCCGCGAGACGCCGGTCCGCTCTGGCATGTGATTGCCTGTTCGCTGGATTGACGCATTTGATTGGCTTCTGAGGTCAGGCTGCTGCCTACCATTGGGTTATGTGTTACGGGTGGCTCGAACGGGGCTGGTAAGACCAGGAAGTGGGTTTTTGGAAATATGACTAGAGGTGAATGACACGGAAGAAACGAGAGAAATCGTGTGCAAAATTATAGATTTAGTTCACCCACAAAATTGCTGTACTTATAGGGTTATGCCACTCCAGACAATCAATTTAATGGCAGCTGGCAAGCATTCATGCATTGTAATGATATTGCATGGATCGAGAAATCATGTTCAAAATTATTAGATTTCACCAAGATACATGGCAGTGATAAATCATAATTCACGGGTCTCGCTTTACCGCTCTCGCTCCAGCTCTGGGCTGCAGGTATCTGTCTGGGAAAGGAAGGGGTAGGGTGAGCTGTGCCAGCCCGGCCCGGTTGGACAGCCTCTCAGCCCCGGGGTACGGACGGTCCGGCGGCACCGGCAGCTATTAGCTGTAATGGGCCGACAGCCGGTCCGTCCTGAGTCGACCTCCGAGCCGAGCTGCAGAGAGCCGCTGCAGCTCCCAGTGTCGAGCTGAGCACCTCGCTGCTAATCCCGCGAGCGTAGCTGGATTTACTAAAATGTTAAACCTTCACACGCGAACCGTACACGAAGCCTACATGGGAGAAGCCTATTTAGAATCGTGCGAGTTGCGTCACACCCTCCTGCCTTACTGTTTGCACAGCGCAGAGCGTGCTAACACTGGAGCACACAGCGCGCTGCAGGGACCTCTGTCGCAGCTCTCGGGTGGCACCGGAGCGCTCGGCCGCCGCGTACCGCCACACAATTTGTCTATTTACGCTGTACCCTCGGGACGTCGTGCCGCGACTCACCCAGTGTCAACAGGGCGACGGTAGCGGAGAGGGAGAGGGAGAAGGGAGAAGGGAGAGGGAGAGGGAGAGGGAGAGGGAGAGGGAGGGAGGGAGGGAGGGAGGGAGGGAGGGAGGACGCACAGCCGGTTGACAAACACGACAAATGGGGGTGGCCCAGTCGCCAAGAGCGGCAAATTGGCAGCGGGAAGCACATTCCTTTACCTGTCATTTACCCAAGGACCAAGTGTATTACGCGTGGTGCCAGAAGTGTGCCTTTTTTACAGGGTATTTCAGGTATACAGTCGGCTGCTTTCGGGTACGATAAAATCGTGCCATTCTTGCTGATAGATGTGGCACTAATAAGGTGTCTTTCTGTTGTCGGTCGTGCCGGTAAAACTATCGTTCTCTTGCTTGCCCAGGAGGACAGTAGAACAGTGCCAATCAGCCTGCTGACGCCCGAGGCCAACCTGGTAAGGAGTCGGGTGCTCGCTCGTTATGTCTATCTGTGAGCCTTGACCTTCATGAATACAGCTGCACCCGCCGGCCACCCTGCTTACTCATTAGGCCTCTTACCCTGCTAACTGTGCTTACCCCATACCCATCAGGCTTGCCACCCCAGCTAACCCTGCATACCCTTACCCACGACGCCTGCCACCCCCGCAACCCTGCTTACCCTTACCCACCGGGTACATGTTTACCCTCCACCGTATTTACCCCTTTCCCGTCAGACCTGCCACCCAGCTAACCCTGAAGTGCTTACCCACTGCGCCTGTCACCCCGCTAGCCCTGCGCTGCCCGGCCAGCCGACCTCACGTCATTCCCAGCTGCCTCTGCTGCTGCTGCTCTGCTGGAAGGATATCGATCGTGCAGTCGATGACGCTTTTTGTCCACCCTGTGTCCCTGGCTGCAGCAGCTCCGAGCTTTGTTTAACAGAAACCCTGCAGACCTCGCCTTAATGTGTGGCTGCCCTCCGCTATGAAACGCTTGAACCTAACCAGCAAATACTTATGCCATTTAACCAGCTGCTCGACCCTGCATCGCTTACCTTTTTAACGGCGTAATTGAGGTATCATGTTACTGAACTTGCACGTCTTCGTCCCCTTCATTTACTTTCGAAACTTCATTGTGCTCATTCCGCCCGCATGTGAATACTGTCCTTAACATCCCATCTGCCAGTGCCCTGAATAAATGGAATACGTGATGTCATTTACACACGTGACTGCATTTACAATCTGGCTTGAGCTGAATAATGCTTCGGGCTGTCGCTGTTGTTCATATAAGCATAGCAGTCACGCGATAACAAAAACAAATGCCTATCTACCTAACTTGTCTTGGGGCATTGGATATTTGCTTGCTCGTGCTGTACACTGTGTAGCATTGATCCGACCATGATTCCCAAGAAAAGTCCGATTCTGGGCATCTTACAGGAAGATTAACCTAGCACATGTCCACACAGCTCAGCATAATTTCCAGTTACGTTCTAGGCCATCCATGTCCAACGATTTGCTCATCCCCCGATCGCCATGGTCACATCAGCACCTTCATCATGCCAAGTCTTCGATTTCCAGAGCTCATACCGAGACATAGCTGGTACTTTTTCCGTGCCATTTCCCGTCCAGCATCCCGTGCCATCTCTGGTGCCAGTGCGGCCCGGCGAGGGGATGGGATCGCGCCGTCCTCCCCGGGACAGCCTGCCTAATGAAGCCCAGTATCGATCACACCCGGCGCCGGAACTGTGCCGGAAGTCGGCCGGAAGTGGGGCCGGAAGTAGCACCAGAAGTGACGCGGGAAGAGGCGCCCGCCGCCGGCGACCCGTTCGTTGGCTGTACGCGGAGGCACCCCGACCCGCCGAAATCTCCACCCCACGACTAGCCATAGCCTGTTTCATACCCTCTGTCTACGGCGCGGCGCGAGGAAAACAGCGGCCCCGATTTACGACTCCGCCGCGGGGCCGGAGCGCCGCAGACGGCCGACTCTCAGTCCGGAAATTGAACCGCTCTCGGCTGACAGGCCTGGAGGGCCGGCCGCGCGGACGGCTGATCCGGCACCGTGATACAGCGGCCAGTATCGCCAGAGGTGCCATCGCGCACAGAAGCGATCATTGATGTGTGGATGATCATCGGTAAAGCAATGGTTGATCGTAGGGGTAATGGCTGTCACAGCTACTTTTGCCAAATTGTCAGGGAACTCAGATTTGTTTTTCAATAGAAAAACACAATTCTAACGAATAGTGTTTTAACTATTGACAACAAACCTTCGGTTATTTTTTTCTAATATGTTACGATCCCCCAAAAGCCTGGACATTCTCGTTATAACTATATGTTATGTTGGGTTTCTTTATGGTTATAAAAACATATGCTCATTCTTGCTAATGCCATGCGGCAATACAATTTTCTAGTGTTGCACTAGCCAAGCTAGCCAGCCACTAGCCATGTAAAATGTCATGCCACTGTCTTCATGTCAGGACTGATTCTAGCTACTCGAGCCGGAGCGTCAAGCTCAGCTCTGGCCAGCCGAGATGGCCGTGTATGCTGGTAGAAGCTGCGGCAGCTCCAACAAGGAATTTAAACACAGTTCACCGTAGCGACCACAGAGAGATGACTGTCCCTGTGGCTGCTCCCCGCCCCGCGACACGGATCATTGGATCAATAACAATGGAAGTCCGTCGACCGGTCACGTGCCCTCCGCGGGCCGCGCCGCCCTAAATCACGTGACAGACACGCCCGAGCCGCTCACATTGACGGCGTTTTTGCGATAGCTCGTGAGCAGCGAGCGCACGTGACCTATTCAAGGGGTCACCAGCTGCTCGCGGCATTCCCATTTCGGCATAACAACCATTCACCCCGCGTCTCGGCCCGCTTTGTTGATCGCCCACGTGACCGACGCAGGTCTACGTGATGGGCTGCGCCACGATCCTTCTCTGAGCACGTGACTGCAGCACCCCGGCATTTCCCGTCAGCGAGCGATCTTAGGCCGAGGTCATGTAAATCGAAACTCCAGTAGCTGAGTGATTATCCCTTCCTTACCACGGCCTCAGTGCCGCTGCTAATGTTCTATCTGACAATGCTTACCTCTTCCAGGAAGGACACGTGACGTGTGTCCTATCACATCACGTGACTGGCGGGCGTGACCAGCTCTGTCTGATTGCGTCCTGGGTGACCTATCACGTGACCTGTCCGTACCGTTTCGTGTCGTGACCCGGTACCGACTGTCAATCCGCCAGGTTCTGCCGACGTGGAGGGCCACACAGACGGGCTCGATAGCACTCAAGATCCGCACCAACGAGGAAGACGGGCTGATTCTGTTCAACAGAGGAGATCCCAACATGGTAGGAAATCAGCTTGTCTCCGCCGCGACCATTCCCGAGCTGATAAAGGCATGCGGTGCATGATTGTGGGCGTGGAGTAGTTGTGAAAGCTAGAATAACATGTTCGTTTCGTTCAAACAAATGACACATCTGTATCATATTTCCGACATATGCCGGGAAAACGAGCAGATATTTCCACAGCCCAGTAGTTGCCTACCAATGGACATATGTACCACGGGTGTAGCATGGTTCGTTAGCGTTGGCAAGACGGCGAATATACTATATCTGTAGCCACGCGATTTCTCCCCAAGCAGGTTATTAAGGACAGTGTTTTCAAATCAGTTACCCAGAGAGGATCAATGACCAAGCTGCCCATAGGAACAATGCATTCGGTGTTGTGTAGCGGCGTGTCTACGAGCAAAGCAAGTGAAGGAAATAACATCATCCGGAGATGATGGAATATATGGGCGCTGTTTGCTACTGAGAATCAGGCTCCCGCTCTATGAAGTCAGCAAGTCATCAGCGTTATAAATTCTGCTAGAACTATGAGTTGGTGCATTTGCAGCTGCAGTGATGGTCGGGTCAATACTGTTCGCAGATCATATCAACCCAACGACGCTACTGATGGCTTTTATGGTGAATAGACATACACAGATGCCCAATGCGGCAGCTTACCGCAAACTGGAAGTCTCCGGCCTAGTCTGGAAGAGAGCTTCAAAACATTTGATGTTCAAATAACCAAAATGGCGATCAATAGAATCTACTCCGGCCTAAGTCGGTTCAATTCATAGCCAGAAATCATTTTTCTTTCAATTGAACAGGAAGCTATATAACATAGCATCATTGAAGATATTACACAGTTAATATGCCATTTAATTCAAGATCAAATTTAGTCTCTCACATGCGAGATAATAATTCAGAATTGTTTGAGTAGTCAACGAAGTAAATTTATTTCTTCTCAGTCGTTCGAATACAAATTACAACATTCTACCAATAACAAACACGATCCAAGCAATCACAAGCTAATCTAAGAACCAGTAACAGTGGCCATTTGGGACTTCGTCAGGCGAAGGAGGTTCAATTTTGGGCCGAATAAGTAATAACTTGCCAAAAGGCGTCATAGTTCCTTTTTGTAGGTAATGCCACTGGATTGGCAGCACACTGTAAAAATTCCTAGACCATATATATGAAAGACATCAGACAATTGTTTGCAGGTCACAACACGCATATTGCATAATTCATAAGTGCCATACTGGAGCACGAGGCCACCCGCCCACAGCCCACGTGATTTCGCCTCTGATGACGTCATCCACAGCCAATGACGTCATTGGCTTCCGGCGTGATGAGGTTGCGTCTGGAGAGGAGGTAATCTGGCGGGAGGGAGCGCCCCGACTCTGCCCGCGTGTTTTGCTCGGTCCTGCTGAGCTGGGGCACACGCACCTACCAGTGAAAATGTTACGACTTCACTCGGGCTCCGACAATCAATAGCACATTAGGAAGCCTAATGTGCGTTTCATTTAAACCACGGGGAGTGGGAAAGCCCAGTTTTACTTTCACATTTGCCTCAAGAATTGTAGGACCTGTCGAAACAAAGTGGCTGCCCGGAGCCCTGTCGAAATCAATATCAGCTCTTAGCCTGAACGAATTGTCGCAACAAATCATCCGCAGCATGCACTATTAACACGGCGTGTCGGACGAGCCACTTTTCAGCAATAAATGGAAGAAAAATCTTTGCAATTTATCACCAGCTCAGTGTTATTACCAGCCGATCGGGTGGTCAGGCCTGTTCCGCATTGGCCGGCCGTAATAACACCAGCCGCGACCCTTTTTTGTCCATCCGCTCGGCGTGAGGGATAATGCTGTTGCTATGTTTTTCTCCGCGCTCCACCCGGCACGTCAGTCTGGTTTTCGTCCAATTTGCTGTGCCGCTCCCGTTGCCATTCAGGGCGCCATTTTGCTCGTCATTTTGCGCGCGCGCGCGTCCGCGCCATTCTGACTGCAACGCAGACGAGTCGACCTATGATGCCGTCTGGGATGGCTGTTCACTAGGGGTACCCATTTTTCCCGATTTTGGAAATTTGAGGGTGGGGGTGGTTTTTCCCATTATTTCGCGGCTCCTGATTCCAATGATGCCAAAAATATTGAAATCAAAGGTGGTTTAGGGGTCGCGAATTGAGATTGAAATTTGCGTATTTACCTAGAAATATGCCTATTTTACGCTGATAGTAAATCGCACCAAAGGCAAACTTTTTGTTTCGAAAGTCGGTTAGAGGGGTCATTGAGCGCTCCTTTTTCATCCACATCGATGTGCTCCATCACGTGGTTCCGGTTAAATGCCTTACTAGCGATCAATACAAGTCGATATTGCAACATTTGGTGAAAAGCGCCGTGATGTTTTGCTCCTGTTGTTGGTATCATTCTGGTCGGCGTGTAATCATTTTTTATATCTTCTGCCTTCATGTGACCTTTGGTGACCTTTGGTATTGGTGACCTTTGATGACCTGTGAGGTCAAACTTAAATATGACGTTTCAGTTGCCACATCTCAGTTCATGACAGGCTTTTTGTGTCCATACAATTAAAGTTTCCGCAAATTAGGTCAGGATACATCTCACAGGTTATGGCTCCGAATGGACTTCAAACCATGTAATTCAAAAACGATTAAACCATTTTGACCGTATACTTCCACAAGACACGCCGTCCTGATCGCTGACCACAGGCGGCGGAACGGGGAGGGCACCGGAGCACCGTGCCCCCCTTTGATTTTGGCATTTTAACATTAGCCCTAGGGGCGTTGCTTGGAAAGAATGGGACCAAAAGTCGGCAGTGCCCCCCTTAATTGAAGGCGTTCCACCGCTACTGTCGCTGACGGCTACGATGTAATACACGTATGAGACAAGGTAGAATAACTCTGGGTGTTCTACCCAAAAATATCAGCTTCTAATCCAAAAACATAAACTCCAAAGCGTCGATTCTTTCCATGCCTACCAACCATGTACCTACTATTCCATTTCTTCAGTGGGGATACGAGTACACGTCTTAAGTGTAAGAGGTTCCGATACAATGCACATTGCACATCATTTACGACTTTGCATTTTCGACCACGGGCGACTAGCCATGCGCTGATACGTGCATAGCTGATAAGTGACGAAGACCTTTCACTGCTCCTTGCACAGATCACTTGTGATCTGAGGTGATTGGCGTATGAATCTGAAGAACCTAATGAAGCAGAAGATTTTCATCCTGCATGGGCCGTATATGGTGGTAACCAGGACGCGGCGTCATATAAAAGAGTGTGCGTGCAGAGCTGAAGACGAGAACTAGGTCCGCCACCTAAGGTCCATAGCCCACCCAATGTGTCGGCCCCCAGGCAATGCCAGGAGTCAGTAAACGGATCTGCCTCGGAGTTGGCTGAGTCGTTTAGACTTGGCACCTTCCTAATTTCCAGCTTTAGCCAATGCCATTCGACTTCAGTTCAGCACCATTTGAGGGTTTGGACTGGGCATGTAGAGTGCAGCGTAAGGTCCGTTATCTTGCAAGGACGCTGCTGGCAGCGGCCATCACCAGGCACTAGTTCCATGACATGATATCTGCACCTGTCTCAAGTTAACAATATGTCAACAGTCTAAACAAAAGTCTGTATGTGGGTGTGGGTGTTTGTGGGAGAGGGGCAAAGCTACACTCATACAGCAGTCACCCAACGGCGCGGTGGTGTAAAGCTTGCGCCCCTCCCTCAGCCGTGTCTGCAACTCCGGGACTATAGGGGAGGTCGGCTAGCGAATTGGCAAAGGTCATGCATACCGGCATAGCTTCAGTGCTGTTTTCATCTCGTTAAAGATCTTCATGCCATATTTCCGTTACAATACGACACACGAGTTATATCGTCACATCCGTAACGGCTTTTAATGCCCCTCCCACCCAGATTGTGTCAATATTCATTGTTTACGTCCTGGGGTTCAGTCATTTCTTTTGCTGAATAAGACGACTCATTGAAAACTAAATGGTCCTAATGAGAAAGCTTCGATCACTGATTTGAGCCCTCTGACTACATAGCCAGTCGTTCTAAGAGTTACGGTCTTGTATATATGTAGGTACTAATGACGGTCTAAGCCACAGTGAGTGTAAATGAGCATATGCTGTTCATTGACCAAAATGATATTTTTGGTGCTCTCTTTTACCGCTGCACGTCGAATACCACTGCAACACAATCAGGCTTTGCGCATTTATATCCATTCATATGAAGTCATTTTTCCAAGTAAAATTAAAACTTCCAATGCAAGCTCGCGATCCCTAAAAGTGGTCTGATATCGTTATTTCTGTCACTGCTAGATCCAGAACGGAGCAAATAATGATAAAATCGACCCTAAACCGTTGGCATGGTAACTTTGTCCCAACATAAAATAATGTTAATTTGGTCGATTTTCCGCTAAAATTGACCTTTTCATTTTGAATACGTGACCTCTAGAAATAGTTTGGTTTCGTTATTTTTGGCACAGATGGAATCAGAATGGACCAAATAATGGGAAAATTGACTCCCACCTGTTAGCATGGTAACCTTGTTCCAAAATAAAATAGCATTAATTTGGTCGATTTTTCGCTAAAACTGGCATTTTCATTTTGAATTCGCGACCCCTAGAAATCGTTTAATTTCACTATTTTTGGCACAGATGGAATCAGAATAGACCAAATAATGGGAAAATCCACCCCCACCTAAAATTTGAAAAATTGACCCAAAAATGGGTACCCCTACTGTTCACCGTTAGAAAAGTTGTTGACGGCTTCTCACCGTTGGAGTTTCTCTAGCTCAGTCAGAAGGGGAGATAGGGGCCATTGCAGATTAAGATAGTGGTGTGATTTTGCCCCTTCTTGTACCTGAATTGTGGGTTTGATGCATCTCGTTTCAATTTTAGTGAAAGCGGAAACTGGTTGCAGATTAGATACAACCAGATGCATTTTAAGCTGATAAGTGCCGACATTTCCTTTCAGTGCAAATTTCAGTTCGACACATTTCCAGACCGACTAGGCTCGTATCAACTGCACCATTTAAAGTTCATCATGCATGCAAGCACGTATGTAACGAGCACTTTACTACCGTATAACTGCATAAATTAACGTTAAATGCACATTATCAATCCATCTAAAATTTCAATGGAAAACATTTTCGACTTCTGCCATCAAAAACCATGCCGCATTTCAAGGCATGAACGGTGGACGGCCTGGGCCACAGCAAGGTTTCAGTGTCGTGCGGTACAGCATAACTTCAGGCGCTCACTACTAGTGCCATCTATCGGCGAGAGCGCAAGTGGGACGCGCCGCTACAATCCGACCGATACGCGTCGGCATCTGCACGGTATAAATGCTTGAATAAGAGTAAGTACTGTTTGCTTAGCCATATGGGAACGCAGTGCGTCACGTGACCAAGGCGTCACGGAATCCTGATGATATGCTCCTGTTCAATGAACATGTCTCCATGCGCTAGATTGGTAGGTATGCATCCAAAGACCGAGTCCAAAGGCAAACGTATCATTGTAATGAACATAATAAATGCATAACTTCTCCGAGCTACACCTAGTCGAACATCCTGTTCAGAGTACTATAAGAATATTCTACAGCTGCATAGCTGGCCTCCAGAAGACACCCCCGCCTGACGCCTCCCCTCACCCCTCCCACCTTCCCCCGGCCGGCAGGACGACATGTTCGCCCTGGAGCTGCTGGCCGGCCACGTCTGGCTGCACGTCGACCTGGGCTCGGGCTCTGTGCGCGTGCGGGCCACCAAACGACGCGTCGACGACGGCCTCTGGCACCAGATCAGCGTCTCCCGGGACGGCCGCAAGGGGCGCGTCACCGTGGACGACACGTCGTCCGACTTTGTCACACCAGGTCAGTCGGTCTGGACTTCGCGCCCGGCCAGGTATTTGATGGTGAGTTGTGATGCACCGCCACGACAACGGCTTATAAAGTCGCGGCCAGTTGAAAAACTTTGAAGTTAACTTTACTTTGCATAGCGATGTTTCGATAATTATCTTCGGTGCATATAAAAAGAGTAAGACACCTCTAAGCGCCATTGTGGTTGCAGTAGCTTTGAACCCAGAGTGTATACTGCAAAAGCCTTCCACCTAGTTTTCTATCAACCAGCAGCCTTGATCCGAAACAGTGCAAACTAAGAACCACCAGAGTACCCACCGCCTCGGCAGAAGTGCGGTCTCTGGCGATCCATGCCACACTATACCCCGCCTTTCCTCCAAAGAGCGCCCCACAGCCGCCGGAGCACCGAATAAGGCCGACGGCAGGCGCCCTCGTAAACACTCAAGAGCCGCGGAGTACCCCCAAGCAACGGGGTTTGAGTACCTTCAAGCACTCCCGGGTGTCGGAAGAGCCACTATGTGGTCCCATGGTTAATATTGTGGCGTTACTGTTACCCACTCCGATGAACCGCAAATAATTAAAAGCAATTAATTGGCTAAGCCATATTGTATTGATAATTTGCATGGTAATTTATGGACTGTCTGTCGCTAGAAAGCACCCTCACTCCTTTATATGCCAGGTCAGCAATAAACAATCACTTTATAGTCGAAAAGTGGAACCGGAGACACCCCACCACACAGTCGCACATACATTACCGTGCAGCATTGATTCCCGGCAACCGCGTCCCCCTAACACCCCACTCCGGCCCGTTCCAGGCACGCACAACCGTCTGGACCTGGACGGGACGCTGTACGTGGGCGGTCTGGGTGCCGACTACGACCGGGTGCCGGTGCCGGCCCAGGTGTGGTCGGGCACGCGGAGAATAGGCTACGTCGGCTGCATGAGGGATCTGGTCATCAACGGCTCCGTCATCGGTTTGGCCACCTACGCGCGTCGCCAGGACAGCAGTGAGTTTATAGCGCCGACGAGACGCGATGAATGAACTATGCAGTGGCTAGTGTATGTCTCGTGCGATGTAGAACATACCTACTTGTCGCGGTCGGTAGTACAGAAGTTTGACACGTGCAGTGTCTTGGTCGCCAGCGTACAGACTGTGGGTTGAGTAAGGAGTTCATGGAAGGATATATTTGAATCTTTAAGTTTGGTTTCAAACTTAGGTACGCGTGCTGGTTACACTAAACGGATGTCACAAGTTGTATGCGAGTCAGTCGCTGCCTCGCGGGTAGCGGAAAACATGCAGCAGTTCAAGGAATACCACCCATGCATTTGCCCTTGAGTCGTCAATAGTTTGCTAACAGCTCTTGAAGCGTAACCAAATGGCTGTTTAACATGCGACCACGTCGGTCGTTTCCAATGCACCGTCTGCAAAGCTGAGGGCCTTTCAGTTCGAGCTCACACGACACGGTCGTCAGAGAGTGACCCTTGACCTCTGCCGGCCTGGCGCTCCGCGCGCGGCGCCGTGTCATCAGACGACTTTGCCGGCGACTTGATGTCCCGCTGTCTTGGCCATTCAATTTCCGGCCCAGTGAGTGGCACTGCGCTTAGTATGCAGTCTCAGCGCGATCGGAGGCCACTTGGTAGGCTGGCCGGACGCGATTCTCCGATATGACAAGCTTCACGGCTCGATTCGCATGCCACTGAGGGGGGTGACGCCCATCTGTGGCGACGACTTGTCGCCGAGAAAGGCCCGTCTGGGCGAGTGGAGTGGCCTGAGAACACGGCTTTGACGACGTGTTTCAACACAGCCACCTGAGGAGACGTCTTGGGTAGGGAAGCTGGATGGTGACGGTGTTTCAGCTTTTCTAAATACTCTTCTAGTAGGAATATCTCATCAGAAAACAAATATCCACGAATCAGGTTATACAAATAAGACCGCACTTTTATCACGCCAAGGGGTACAAAATAACCATATGTCACAGTAATATTCCAGATGTAACCGATAAGAATTATAAATGACAGATAACAGTAGAACTGTGTTCTGTAGAACTGTTCTGTAGAACTGTGTAACAGTAGAACTGTGTTCTACTGTTATCTATGTAAATGACAAAAAACAAGGTTGGTTCGTCATTAAATAACTGATGTCGATGATTAAAGAAGTAATTCATGACATGCTTTATTTCTCAGAGAAACTTAATCGATTTTCATAAATATAGTAGAGGTCGACATAGGTCACTGTTCTAATCCTGAAACTATGTGTCGCATGTGGTAGAAACATGTGTTCCATTCTGCCCAGACTGTAGCGTGACAGATGATTCACGGAGAACTTGTGGCACATAACTCCAAGTTATTACAATATTTACGGTGTCTGCCTACAGCTATTAGTCATTTTTAATCAACAATAACATGCTGATACAACTTTGGGTCTGTGAACATGTGCGCGCTAACCAATGACCAGTTGCGAGTCTTCAAACCACTATCGCCCCCCCCCCCCCCGCCCCGCTCCCACCGACAGAAGGATTGATTCTCATCTCCCTAGTCCCTCGCCCGCGCACAAGAGGATCGAATTTTACCACCCTCTTCCCTTTCCCGTCCACAGGATCAATTCTGACCATCCTCGCCCCTCGCTCTCCCTCAGAGAGGTCGATTCTGACCTCCCCCGCCCCTCTCCCGCCCACAGGAGGGTCGATTCTGACCGAGTGTCACTCGGGACCGCCGTCGTGTGACTCGCAGCCGTGTATGAACGGCGCACCCTGCTCCAATGGCTGGAACAGGTTCATGTGTGACTGCACCTTCACCAGCTTCACAGGAAAAACGTGCACTGAAGGTAAATAATAAATGACTGTAAATGGTAAGCAGTCAACAGAGTCATAATTACAAAGGAAAGTAAACATGACGTCATTGTCATTGTGCAAGAGCATCTCTCGCCATAACTTCATTGAGGTTGCGTCATATTTCTACTGCGATATTGTAGGTCTATGCTCGAGTCGTTTGATTGACGTTTTATATGGTACACCTCCGGATGGGAGTTGACTGAAGCTGATTACGACAGCCACATTCAGAGGCTTTTGTTCTGGTGTGCAAAAATCAAACATTTTTCATTATTTTCTCTCAGAGCATCAATTCGCAATCTTTCACCAAGTTTCATCTCGCTTCACTAAACTTAAAGAATTTTCTGTGCTGTGTAATATAGCAGCTCATCTGAATACAGACCGTCCCAAAGTTAAGCTTCATTTAAAAAGTTGGTCGCTGTAATTCTATCACGCCTTCGGCCGGGTCGCAGCCCTAGCCCAGTCAATTCCGTCCGGCCGAGAGGTCACGCAGGGACGCCGGGGCGGGTCACATGGTAAACGAGTCCCGCCTCCTGCCGCAGAGGCGACCACGGTCAGCTTCGACGGCACCCAGCACATGATCGTGCCGCTGCAGCGCGAACAGCACACCGAGGCAGACGACATCACGCTGCGCTTCAAGACACTGCGGCCGTCAGGTAAGCGGGTGGTGCAATGTCGTGACGTCCCCTTCACGATATGCGCTGACCAGCTGCAGCCGGGTGGCAGCTCATCCTGATGTAGCACATAGCAATGCGTTTAACGATCGAGTTTGTGCGGTTCAGAGGAATACTTTTAAGACAAAATAACTTATTTCATTGTTGCAACGCATTTCAACATTAGCTATTTATCGTTTTATTCAATCATACCATCCAAGCCAATGCCAAGTATCATATCATGAACCACTGGACTCCCTATGACGACGTCACTCGCCAACTCAATAAGTTCGGAAATCTGCCGATGGCCGCCGGTGCGCCAGGTCGTCAGGTTTCAGTCGCGCCCCACGACCCGGGTCATTAGCTGGCCGACCGGCTGCGGCTCGGCTGAGCGGGCCCCATTAGTGGCCCTGTCGCCGGTCGGCCGGACCGCGTGCTGTGCCGTTACACTGATAGTTGGACTCACTGACCGCACTTAGTGGGCTCGCGCCTGCCACTGCTAGTTTGAACGGGAATCTTCCGGTCACTGGGCGACAACAAATCTGAAAAGTTCGGAAATCAATTATTCGATCGATTTGCTAAAACCAAGCGAGGTTGATGAAAATGGCTTCGGATGTTGGATCCATCAACGAACCGATAGTTTCTATAGCCATTCAGTCATGAGAGCACGTCCGGCACTATTTTGCTTTACGCGCTCAATCATGGTGAGCCGTTTTATCTGCGGAGTTTTAGTGCTGACACAGCCGGGGTTTACGACCGGCCCGGTCGGCACCAGCTGTGCCCCCAGCACCATCGACTGGAGTGTGCTCCGAGAGAGAGGCAGATAACGAGCTGTGCTCCCGACCTCCCCGGGGCGGGGGGATGCGGGGGGAGGTAGTGGGGTAGCTGGGGCGTGGCAATGACCTCAGATGAGAGAATAAGTTATATTGTCGCGATCCGAAAATTACACAGCTCGAGGATTGGAAGATAACAACACCAAGGTGTCTTACAAAAACATAGTATGAGCAAGTTGATGAGAACGACCTTATAGCCGACAGGTCCCTCGGGTCTGCTCTTAATCACCCAGTGAGAAGACCTCACAGGCCCCGCCTCCTGCCCTTCATGCCTGCTGTTCGCTACCATGGTTGGTAACTCAAACTGTGTGAAGCTGGCGCTGGGGTTTGAGCAGCTCTCACTGGTCCCGCCTCATGTCGCTCAGGTATCGCAGGCCCAACCCTCAGGTCTCACAGGCCCCGCCCCTGTCCCTCAGGTCTCACAGTCTCCGCTCCTGTCCCTCAGATCTCACAGTCTCCACTCCTGTACCTGAGGTATCACAGGTGACACCCCTGTCCCTCAGGTCTGCTGTTCGCCACCACGGCCGGTAACTCGGACCGTGTGGAGCTGGCGCTAAGGTTGGCTGGGACAGGTCTCACAGTCTCCACTCCTGTACCTGAGGTATCACAGGTGACACCCCTGTCCCTCAGGTCTGCTGTTGGCCACCACGGCCGGTAACTCGGACCGTGTGGAGCTGGCGCTGAGATTGGCTGGACCAGGTCTCACAGACCCCTCCCCTGTCCCTCAGGTCTCACAGACCCCTCCCCTGATCTCAGGTCTCACGCAGTTCTCACAGGCCCCGGGTTCTCCTCAGGTCTGCTGTTGGCCACCACGGCCGGTAACTCGGACCGTGTGGAGCTGGCGCTAAGGTTGGCTGGACCAGGTCTCACAGACCCCTCCCCTGTCCCTCAAGTCTCACAGACCCCTCCCCTGTCCCTCAGGTCTCACAGACCCCTGCCCTGTCCCTCAGGTCTCACAGACCCCTTCCCTGCCCTCAGGTCTCACGCAGTTCTCACAGGCCCCGGGTTCTCCTCAGGTCTGCTGTTCGCCACCACGGCCGGTAACTCGGACCGTGTGGAGCTGGCGCTGAGCGGAGGAAGGATCCGGCTCTCCCTCCGCATTGAGGACACTTATAAGGTGAGTCGTCACCGCGCCACAGTCCTCACACAGTGGATTTGGGGGTGAATGGACGCTGGCGATACCAAAATGACTTAAAGAATGTATTTATGAGGAATCATTCTTAGTCCTCCTTCTGTCCTATTTTTAGAATGTTGGTAGCTTGCTTTGGCCTAGACACGAATTCTTCCCGTGGGTTATGAAGACATTCCAAGCATAATAGCGTAAAATGAAATTCCTGGCACAAATGAGTGGCTAAGATGATGTAGCACCGAATAATTCGTGTCCTTAAATCACTTTTTAAGCGCTTCAGCGATATCATACATCACCAAGACTTAATATTTTTTTAAGGATTATTCACGAGATAACTGACCGCAGAAAAGCAGCAGGAATAAGCTTATCGAAACACCTTTTCATTCAACACGTATAACAAAAAGTCTCAGAACGAATTACACAAGTCTAATAAGCGCAACGCTGGGTAACAGATGACACCCGTCATGCCAGAACATGACCGACGACTGGCACCGAAGACCAATGACCGCGAGGGTGTGGGAAAACGGGGGTCGAAAGTAACACGGTGCAGGGAGCTGTCGCCAGTCTCGATATTGATTTACTACCCTGTCAACTTCAGATATTTATTTGTTTGTCTTGCATGTTCTTTGTTCAAACTTGCAACGGATCAAACAGTACTCAGAAGCCCATAAGCAGCTTATAGGCATGTCATTCGTGCAATGGGGATTGAGACAAAATGACACGCTAATCCTCAATGGGCATAGTCATGTCAGAAATGTAATATTATCACAATGATTTGTTTCAAAATGCATTGCACCATACGTCCTGTCATGCGGGTAGCAAAAATAATAAACTCGAAAAACATGGTCATCACCCAACCGGCAGGATTATATGGGAACCAAAAGAGACCATACTATTATATTATATACCTAACTAAACTCGAACCAGTCCAGTGCATACCATACTACAAAGACCAACCTAGAAAGACGTGCTCATATAAGGCCACACCAGATCTGCCCCCAGACCAATACGGAGAAAATAAGACAGCGGTTCGCCAGCTCGACGGACCGCACCAGACCTCCCCCCCCGCCCTCTGCCGGGCGGCACGTGCCGGGGCTATGACCCCTGCCGGCCCCATCGATCCCGTTCCAGTCGTCGGCCGCTCCACTGTCGGCAATACCCCGAGGCGAAATGGCTGCGGTCAAACGGAGAGATTAGGATGAATCGATTCGCAGATGACCGAGATTGTAAGAGCCCTGCGCTTGTGCGCAAAAGTCTAAGCGGTATGAAATATGCTGATTAGTGTAATCAAGTCTGATAATGACGTCCTCTAATCCCTTTGCGAATGGTGTTTGCTGTCGTGGAGTGGACGGCCGATGGGTCACAATGACCGGTGGATGTGCGCTAATTCGTTTGTTTTCGTCGCATATAATCACGGATGATTGCATAGTACCGGTGATAGTGACTTATTTGCTGCATGCGACGCATTTCCAGTGTCCGGTTGTCTTTAAAAATATGAAAACATTATTTATGGTTTATTGGTAATTGGTATGTAACTTTTGTTTCTAGAATAGTTCTGAATTCTGATTATACGCGAAAAATACCAATATACGGAACAGGTAAAAAGTTACGTTTACTGTCGGCCATCTACAGTCGCGAGGCAGCAAGTCATCTGCTGAGCTGTTTACTACTGTATTTTCACGCCCACAGTTCTTGATGGTTCGTCAATTGTTTTGCTTGTCCAACATTTACATTTGACTGATTTCTCTTTCTTCTACAGCAATTTCACGAAGGCCAGTCACTCAACGATAACCAGTGGCATCGCGTGATGGTCAAACGGCGCAACCGAGACATTCAAATCTTCATCGACAACGAACAACCCAGAAACGGTAAGCTCCGTTCAGTTTCCAGCACAACATCCAACTCAGAGAACAGTCTGATCCTGTGTAGTTTTCCATTGTCCTTTTGTACACATCCATCCCCAATCCACACAGTCACGTTTCATTCCAACCCGTCTATAGCCCCCCCCCCCCCCCCCCACACACACCAATCCACTCTCTATAATCAGCCCCACACCGAGCCCTCTCTGTCGTCTGTTCGGGGCTCTGCGGTTGTTCTGGTGCACTGCAGACTAGTTAGTGGAAATATCCGCCGGACGAGGCTCTTGTATACGGCTGGCGCCTGCTGGCTAATTTGCATGAAATGGCGCTTTCGGCGCGGCTGGCGACTCGCCACCATCCGGCTTAAGTGCGTGGTTGCGCACAGTGCAAGCCTTCGCTGCCAAGAGGCATCAATGGGATAAATACTAGAAAGGGTTTGGGTGTTAGTTTATAAAAATGTGATTACGGTCATCGGATTCTTCTTTATAAAAGGTAATCGTTTTGGTCAATCACTTTTTAGCTTTTCTAGACAAGCTTTCGAACATAAAAGACGGCGAGCATTTCTGCATTTCTGGTTGGTTTTGTGATTTCCGAAGCCACGACAACACTGAATAGAGTTTCTCTATTTCCTTATTTACTTCACTTCGCCGCCCTCCTCCACCACTCATCCTCCTTCCACGATTCTCAAGGATCTCTTTTATCCAACCAACCGTCGTAACTGGAGCCGGAGGCTGGCCTCAAGCGCGATCGTTAAAGAATCTCGTCGCTGGTAATCATGCTACCGACGCTATCATAGTGGCACTTTTCCTCCATCCGCCGGCGGCGGTGTCCACCAGATACTTCGCGGGGGAAGCCGCCGCGGGCTTATCGCGGTGGTTTCTCAAAGTTTCTGGTGGTGATCTGCGCCATGAATAAACCATGGCACGGCTCTGCCATCTGCATCTCCGGCTGCCCCCCAGCCGGCGGCCGTCGGATCAGACAGCCGAGGGAACGTGGTGAGCTCAGTGGGTCCGGGAGACACCTCCGTCGGTCCAGGGAAGGATGGGAGACAGACGGTAATTTTTGCCCAAAATCGACACAACGGATACTCGCACGAATGAAATATATAATCTCGGACATTTAGATGAGAGAAGGTCGTGCCTTAAAATCTCGCATTTTAAGCGTGATACCCGAGAGGCGACCAATTTCTCCATCCGCCCGTCATATTTTTTTTTCTCGGGATTTGACCGGGCTCCGCGCACCGTGCTCCCAAAGTTGGGTCAACTTCATCTCACCTCCGAACAGTTCTGTCAGAACAGTAGCCAGAGTCGCCTCACAGCCGACAAAGTATCCGCTGCCGAACTCATAACGGCCACGCTTCAACTGACGCAGAAAACGCTGCGTTCCGCATGATTGAAGCACACGGGAGGGCAGGGAGGGTGGCGGAAGGGCGCAGGGCAGGGTTGTCACCGACCAGACTGTTTCATCAGGCGGTCGATGCGGCACCCACCCGAGTCACATCGCTCTCCAAGCAGTAATGTGCAGATTTAATATCGCATTTGTAACCGTGGGCGGCTGCAATAAAGATGGTTTAATGTTACCTTTGCTTCGACTCAATACTCGTAGAAAGCTCGGTAGAATCGTTGCAGAAAATATGAATGCTTACGACTCTCTTGATAACTATTTGGTAAAAATGAATGACATTCACTATAAATTACGCATTTAGTTAACATTTTCATGGCTATGAGGGGATCTCTCTCCCTCTCGTCTCCACTCATCGACAACTAGTGACGCTGCTCCCCTCCCCCTCTCTCCAACAGAGGCCCTGGAGCCGGGCGTGTCTCGGCTGCGCACCAAGTTCCTCTACATCGGCGCCGTCTCGCCGTCCTCGACGGGCGCGTTCGGAGCGCCGAATCTGGTGGGCCAGCTGCAGCACTTCTACCTGAACGGGCAGCCGGTGCTGGCCCTGGTGCGCCAGGGTCGTCTCAACGACACCCAGGGCGGCGCACGGTTCGGCCGCCGGCAGCCGGCGCTGCGCCGACCGGTCACCTTTCAGTCGCGCTACTCGTACGTGGCACTGCGCCAGCTGCGCGCACACACCACAGTCGACATCCACTTCCAGTTCCGCACCCGCGAACCCACCGGCCTGCTGCTCTATAACGGCGGCAGCGGACAGGACTTCATCGCTGTCGAGCTGGTGGACGGTCGGCTCTACTACGTGTTCAACCTGGGCGACGGCGCCGTCAGTGTCACCGACAACAACCAGTTCAGCGCGCTCAACGACTACAGCTGGCACTCGGTGGCCATCGGACGGCCCAACTCGCGCACACACACGCTGATGGTGGACGACCACACGTCCACCGTCACCAGCATCGGACTGAACGAGAACCTTAACCTCAAGGGCCGACTCTATATCGGTGAGACATGCGATACACTGGAGGGAAATGGGAGGGGAAATGCGCTGTGAGTTTGTGTTGCTTATAACCTCAACTCGGTGTTGTGCCCGCAGCAATGTTCTCTCTGTGTTAGGACGTAGTTATATCGTATGCCTCACTTTGATGCAAGAGTGAAAATCATTTCCCAATCACAATCATTTCCCACCCAAATACCTTCATAAACGTCACACGAGTGCCTATTTTGCGCTCCTGTTTTGAAGAGAAGGCGTTGACGTATTTTGATTACCCCGTTATGTGCTTTCTCAATGAGACCTTCACGTCTTTACGATGCCTCAATGGATCTACTGACAGGCGTGCTGGCACGACAATGAATCAGGCGGCACTAAAATAACGCCGAGAGTCGACCGACGTTCTTAACGACACCCTGAACGACTTTGTTGATCCGGCGCAGGGTCAAGGCTTTATCCTGTTTTCGCCGTGAATGGAGCGACTCATCCGCTGTCTTTTTGCAGCCGTGAAAACGTCCTACTGACGCCCCTGGCCACATCCACAGGCGGCGTTCCGACCGAAATGTACAGTCAACTCCCGCCGGAGATACAGTCGCACTTTGGCTACAAGGGCTGTCTGGCCAGTCTGACGCTGGGAGGAGAGACGCCCGACCTGGTGCGACACCCCATCATACCCAGCACGTCCGTGGTGGCCGGCTGCGTCGGTACGTACCGTGAAACCGGCTGGACGGGGCAGACGGACAGATTTATACTTCAGCCTTGACCTTTCAAAATGATCATATGTAACAACTAGCAATAGTGCAGAAACAGTCTTAGGGCATTCTCTCACGCAGTAAATGAATAAGGTCATACAACGCAAAGGCTCGCACCTATATTAAAAAACGTTATTTTTACATTTTTTTGAAAGAATGTTACCATTGAGTATCGAATGTTCTTACTTGACATCAGTTGTTATGATATCTTTCCCCAGGCCCGGACTCGTTCTGTTCGCCGGACTCGTGTAAGAACGGCGGCATCTGTAAGCAGGAGTGGAACTCGTTCACCTGCGACTGCACGCTAACATCGTTCGTCGGACTGCGATGTACCGAAGGTAACACAGTATACATATTTGTTAATTAGCCAGTCGAAAAGCCAGATCAGGTAAAAATGTAATAGAACAGAATTGATGATTTCGAGACCTTGTCCTTTCTTAGCATGTAGCGTACCTACTCTAAGAACTTACAATGCCCATAATTCTAATGATATTTATTCGCTGGAGTAGCAAAGCTCAACATCAAGCGAAAACAAAACGCTCATGAAATACCATCTAAAAAATGATCACTACCCTCTGTTGTTTCCACCACCAATTCGGCGCCTGGCGCATGCTGTACCGTCGGTATGAGAAGCGCTGCGGTACAGCCTAAATTCAGGCGCCCACCCCTGCTGCCATCTGGTGGCGGGTTTTTAAACTTACTCTGCGTGCCGGTACGGTTGGCTTGAGGTGCGGCGGCGGTTCGCGGGACCTCCTCAACAGGAGCCTCAAGCAAACTCATGCATATGTAAGAGTCCACCGGCATTCATATTCATTCCAAAATGATGAAAGATGTGCCAGCAGCAGCTAAAGGGCATTCGCATAAATGTACATCAATTAGTTAGGTAGGTATCGATCTGAAATGGCACGCATAAATCAACCGTCAATGGGCCACGTTCAATCCTAGCTCATAGTGCAGCCGTGGAATTTCCCGATCATGTGATGTGGCCAGGATCTTGGCTTAGCTCTGCTCAACCTGAAGTTCTGTTTTGCATGGATTTTGGCCTTAAATACGCCCATTCAAAGCACTGCACTGTCTTCTAAAAATAATTTGCATTACCTTCTAATAAACAATCAAACTTGACACTGTGCCTTGTTAAAAGTAAACTTAAGGTAAACGTGAGAATATACCCTGCAACTCTGCAGACTTGCCCGTCCCCGCCGGCGGCCGATGAATGCGCTGACCGTGACCTTTGGACGGACCCTGTTGGTGCCACCCCTGCCTCCGCGCCAGTGGAGCGTCTGATTGAGCCCGCCGTGCGCCCGATGCTCCCGTTCAATCGCGGCCGGCCGTGCGTCGCCGCCGGATGGCGTCACCGCCGCTGAGTTAGGACGGTCGTTACTCGGACCGTGTGGCGTACCCGCCACCACCGTCCGAGTTACGGCCGCCGTTAGTTGAGCCGGCCGCCACCGGCCTGCCACAGAGCGAAATTAAGAGTGGCGACGCTTATTCGCGCCTCGTCCCCGGTGTATTCAAAGCCATCGCGCGGTGGCAGAGTAACTCGGTCGGCCCGTAAGGCCGCTGGACAATGGGCCGGAGCGTCGCAGCTCGTTCTGCGCACCCACTTGTCAGCGTAGGGGCTCCCCGGTGGTCTCATCAGACAGCTAGTCCGGCTGGCCTACGGGTCTGCCGTGGGCGACAAGGGCGCAGTGGGCCCTTTGAAACCCCGCTCGAAATGATACCTCTACAGGTACGAAATGGTACCTCTACAACTCAATGACTCTGAAGGTCAGGGTGAAAAAAAATGCAGAATAATCTCAAAATCAGCAACTTATTACACGTCGTAGGTCTATGCCGTATCTTCATCGATGCATGGCGCTCATAGCAGGAGGGTGAAAACCCTTCCATCGCCATGCGATGTCTCACTGACGTTCCCAGTTCCAACATCACGCTCTCACTCGTGTTTCACAGAGTCTGTGAGCTACGAGTTCGGTCCAGGAGGTGGTCAGATCGAGTACCAGTACGAGCGGAACCGGCGACCCGACCGGCGCAGCGACCTGATAGCCGTCGGCTTCAGCACGACCAAACCGGACGGCACCCTTCTGAGGATCGACTCGGACACGCACACAGACTACCTGGAGATCAAACTGGTTAGTGGAGCACTAGCAACACGGGTGACTAAATCACCACAGACAATATAGAGCTGTAGAGTTGTACGAATATCGTTCCAGGTTTTCAAAGTTAACGTTGTCAGCAGATGTCTATCGGGTGTACCAAATGATAAAGACATGCGAATCTTTGCGTTCCCTTGCCCGATTAAAGGCGATATTTCAGATCTTTTTTTTCAGATGTCATCATTTTATTATTACACGTCGCAGTGCATCCTGTCAGCATTATGAAATGTTTGAATGTTTTCCCTTTCTCCAACTTCAAGCTATCCTATAGGCACGTCTGCATGCATTACAACCATAGGTGTCTTTTTTTTCAACTTCTAGCCATTTATTTGATCATTTGACCACCATTAACCACGCAAAACAAACGCACACAAACATTACATACAAAATTACAACATAATATGACACACATAGCTTAACAGCTTTACTAACAGACTTTTTAACAAAAAACACAAAACACAAAACCAAACAAAGCAAAAAAGAAAAGAAAAAAATAAGCAAACGAACCCAAATAAAAGTGACGACATACGTAAGCAGTTCGGATCAACTAATAACGGCATTCGTGACCCTCCACAGGGCATCATATCTATCCATTTTGTCATTTATTTGCGCCACATGCTTTTCCATAAGACTGTACTGTTGCAGCGTGCTGATAAAGGTCTGGAAGGTTACCGGTCGGTTACTAACTCTACAATTCCAAATATACTGTTTGGCTACCAAAATCAGTAGATTTAAGCGATCAACAAAGTGAGCTTCGCCTTCGACCCCGCATATTATCTGTTGTAGAGACAGCTCCTCTCTTACCCTGAATCTGTCCTTCAACTGACGCCAGAAACTCGCCACTACCTGACAATGCCAAAAAAGATGTCCAATAGATTCTTGATACATTGGACAACTCCGACACTTGTTTGTTTCAATTAGGCCATACATATACAGACGCTTATTCGTGGGTAAGAAACGATGTAAACACTGATATTGCAACCATCTTAACTTTCGATCTTCACTAATTGCGTACACAAAGTTAAATGCTCTATCCCAATCATAAGTTGCTGGTAACCCCAGTTCTTCCTGCCACTTAATGCATGCAATCGGCTTCGCCTGATTTTCTCTGATAATTTTCAGATACGCCCATCTTACTACTTTCTTTGTTTCTAATAGTTCTTGCGTGACCTTATTTCTGACCCTTGTGATAGGCTCCTCTACGTTCAGCAGTTCACGCCAATTCTCGGGGATTGTCCTAATCAACGATTGACATGGTAATGGGTGTAAGTCGTACTTTAATGCCAACTCATTTGCAGACAACATTCGATGTCTATCGTAATCGTACAAATCGCTCACTTTGACCATTCCCTTAGCAATGTATACACTTAACATCGAGCCTAATTGAATGCAAAGGAGTAATATTGCGTATCCCACATGGCTCGAATGCAATAGCTCACGTCAAGGTCCGCTAACCCTCCGCACCCTATCTTTTCCCCAGATCGAGAGCAACGTGTACATGGTGTACGACGTGGGCTCGGAGACGCTGTCCATCTCCGACCTGGGTGCCCGCGCTGACGACGGCCAGTACCACGTGGTACGGGTGACCCGCAACGGACCCAACTCCACCCTCCAGCTGGACCACCGGCCTGTCCAGACCAAGTTCCCACGAGGTCAGTGCAGTCCCCGTCGGCCCAAAAGATCCGAACGCCACCCCAGCGAGACAGACGGAGACGGTCACAGGGCGGGATTATGGATTCATCTCATGCGACGGCCGTAACCGGCTTTGGAAGATGGTCCGAGAGGGAAACTCGATTCGCTTTCATAGCGCTTGGGGTGCATATAGACACTCGGTTAAAATTGGAATGCTTACAGAGTGAGGATGGCTGTGGGGAAGAGGCTCTCGGATCAGTCCATGCAGCCTGCGGAACTGCTTTGGATGTGCCGACAAAACCTATAACTATGCTCTGTGGAAAGCGAGGCAGCGAAATAGTTCAGCCAATGTTAGAAAGTATCGTTAGCATGCTCAGAAATAGTACGACACGATATCTTCATATCGTTGTCGTTATAGCTGAGTTCGATTGATGCTTGTTTCACGAAGACAGCGATGCTAGCCATAGTTCAGTAAAAATTGTAGTTTACCTAGGGTTGACTTTAGATAGTATCGGCCAAACAAGTAATTGTAGAAAGTAAATTAGCTGCTGTTGATAGCAGACTGACGACAAACCCGAAAATAAAACTTGAAAGGAGAAAAGTTGCACTCGAACAGAATGAGGTGAACATAAACATGGCTACAGTGCACAGGAGGATCAAGGAATATCTTGAAATAGCATCATCATGTATTGATGACATGATGAGCACAGTAAGAAAAGGCGTTATTTATGACTTGGAATGAGTGAATTGCCACCCCAGCCAATTTCTTCTACGTATGTCCCATGCGTCTGACAGATTGTAGGCCTCGTTTCATCCATCATGTGGAACATACATATGGTTGTGTGTGTCTTGGGTGACTTGTCCGTCCATTCATGGAGTGCCGGGCGCTTTCAGAGCTGCTGACTCAGCGTGCGCGCCGCCGTCGCTCGGGGGGTGAGATACAGTTTGTGTGTCTGTGACAGCACCGGTATGACGTCACACGACTGGCGTGATGACGTCATATCGCAGCACCAGCACCGCGCGCGCGACGCACCCTGCACCACTGACGCACCCTGCACCCTTCTCTTGGAACACTGAGCGCCCCTGACGCGTCACATATTCGTGGTGCGGTGAGCACTGAGCGCCCCTGACGCACAGAGTGCCTATATCTGAAAATGTGAGCCCCTCTGGCACACAAAGCACTACCTGGCGTACTGAGCCGTTACCTCTGATGAACTTTTCAGCACCCCGTGATGTTCTCTGAGCACCGAGCACCTCTGACGCACCTCTTCTTTGCAGTTTCTGCTCTTTCTATGTAGAGAAGAGATCTTGGAAGTAAATAATTCATCCATACATAGAACGCATAATTGGCTACCCGGCCCGCCCGGCCGCAGGAATGCAAAATGCATTAAAAGAGGACGACCATTCATCTTATCATATTGGTGGCAATATTGCGATCGACAATATCTTGAAGCGAGATCCTATGAGGCTAAGAATAAGAAGCGCAGACTCTTGTTAGCTCACGTATTTTGCCTAGGGCCGATCCCTTTTCTTAGCACCGCATGACTGTTAGTTCGTTGCACATAGGCATGCTTACCATCGATGTGTAAGAAACAGATCATCTTTGAGAGCCCACATCAGTCGCCAATCTATAATTCAAACTTTCTCAGAACAGTTGTGTTAAGTTATCAGAGATCCACGATTTGGTTTCCACAGATCTGCCATTGATCACATCACTCCACTCGGCAGGTTCTGTGCCGGTTCCTCTGCGGTCACCATCACTGCACACCCGACCTGTCATGTGACCCTGACCTTAACCCACCCCCCTCAAAGGTCACCAGCACGACGTGTTCCACGCCCCCTCGGTGGTTACCGTCGGAGGGGGTCATTCGGCGCGCTCCGACAACTTCGAGGGTCTCATCTCGGGCGTGGTGGTCAACGGCCACCGGGTGCTGGAGAAGGCGGCCGAGAACAGCCGCGACGTCCGACTGGCCGGCGAGCTTAGCATCCGCGCGCTGCCCTCGCGCATCAAGGATGCCTACTTCCGGCACAGCGAGATGCAGGCCGTGAGTTCTGGCGACGGTCGAATGGGCGAGTGGGATGTTCTGTCTGCTGGGAAGTTGATGTATTAGATCTTGGTGGGGGGTCGCACAAGCCGCATACAGAAGAGCGCGCACAGTCGCACAGAGGCTTTGACATCACAGAATGCGTTCTCTTCTCACCGGTGTTCACTGTTCAGTGTGTTGAATTATATGTGTTATTGCATGAACTTGTGATCTTGCCCAAACGACAGCACTATCAATATCTTGAGAGACCATTCACCAAAAAAAGGTATTTTGCAGACAACAATGTGCATCTTTGTAGGAAGCTTTACTGGAGCAATTTTGTACCCATGGCTGGGCGATCAGATAATCCCAACTAGAAATGCTAGTCGTTTTAGTCCTTTACCTAGTCGGAGCAAAGCCCTTCGCCGCTCGGTGGGTCGATAACCGTCTCCCGCTGCCGTTATCAGGTGGCTGGAGCGGCGGGCCCGTCTCCGGGTATCAACGACGACCTCATCTACTCGGGAGCCGGCTCCGGCTGCGGCGAGACGGACGACCAGGAGTGCTCGGCCGTCTACAAGTCCGACATGGACGCAAGTCAGTGCATACAGCATTTACAATGTCGTCAAGCGCCATAGAGATGGTGGCAGATGTGATAGTTGTCCGGATGTGCTTGGTGATGTGGCAGTTTGTGCAATGTGCATTGTAAAGCTTTCTGATGACCATCAGACTTCAGGACAGCTCAATCAGGGCGGCAGTCCCGCGCCCGAATACCATCCCACTATTTCTGCACCAATTAGATGCTATTATACGAGTACCCAAACCACTATTTCGAAACCCATCAATCCTACATCGTTTCTCCGGTCATCACGGTCTGTTCGACACATTACTGTCCACGTCTTCAAACAATGGAGACTGCAAACACCTATCCTTCAGTCAACGACTAGTTATTCACTATTCAGCTCAATGGCAAACTGAGCTTTCCAGCGGGGTTCTCTGCAAAAAGTCCCGGCAGGCGACATGGCATGAAAATATAGGTGGCCCAAGAGTATCTTTAACGGTAAACGGAAACACAATGCTTCCGTTCGTTAAGTTTCTGAGTACGGGTGGGTGACACCGTCCCTGCTCTGTAGCACCTGGTTTACAGTCAGACAGAGAGCTCTCATGACCTTTGCCATTTTGTATAACGATGTTAGCGCGGCAGCCGTCCGCCAATTTACAGTTCCGAGCTGAGTTAGTGCAGCTGCTCCGAGCTCCATGTGCTCGTAACTCGTCACAACTTAGATGTCACCGACATGAAATACCCCTGCCAGCCAGCCAAGAGGAACACTGAACACGTCAAAAACCTAACGTGCAACTTCTGTTGACGAAGACCGAGGCCTGTTTTGGCTGCCAGAAAATGAACGAGCTCTTCTTAAAAAATATATAGAAGTTTGTGAGATAGCCAGTCTGCAATATCATAATTCACGACGATTCCTTCCACACGTTTGCACCATGTCATTAGCACAAAAACGGCCGTTACAGCGTAGGCAACTCACCTTTTTAGGACAGTATACACAAAGCCCAATGCTGTTTTAATATGACTTCCATTCCATCCACCCCACTTACTTATCCCTCTGGACCGGGCTAGGAAAATGCCACCACTTCCCCGCGCGATGGAATATGTCCCCGCGATAACGAAATATGTACCCATGATCTGTCTAACATCATGATGACGTGTGCCGCAGATGATGACCTGGTGACGCCGGTGTACATTCGGCCGCCGACGCGGGACCGGCCGCCGCCGCCGGCCAAGCCGTGTGATGACGAGGACTGTTTGAACGGATCAGGACACCCGCCGGACGAAATGGACGGGGGAAGGGGACGCGTGCGCGGCGGCCACGGCCAGTGGAGAGGTGTGTTCCAATCCACCAGTCGCCGCGGGGTTGGGATCGTAGAGATCAATACCCAGGGGAATTACGTGTTGGCGTGCTGCAATGTGTCCTTTGGGTGCACCTTATCAGTGTGTTATAGTGTCAATTTTGTATCCATCATAACGTAAATGTTAACGGTAGAAATCTAGGCCGATCTTCCAGTCACAGTTCAGTGAGTAGCTGGCAGTTTTGCGGCACAGCATAACTTACGGCGCAGGATACTAGTGCCACCTGTCGGCCAGACCTAATAGTTTGGTAGGGTGCGCTACAGGTCTCCACTCTCCACCGATTCCATGTCTCGGAATCAGAAGGCGGGAATAAGTAAGAGTGATTCTAAGCGAGACTTCTTGTTTTCAGTGCCAACGTCGAGGAAGCCAATCAACAGCGCTGCGACTACTTCTACCACTTCTACTACGACCACTACCACTACGACTACCAGAACCACGACCACACTTCGATCACAGTGGAGGGTGACGACGCCCCGCACCGGGCCGACGTGGCGGCACACGACGCCGCGGGCCACACCCTCGTGGCGAGTGTACGGGGCCACCACCCCCGGCAGCCGTCTGCCGGCCAACGGGGTCGAGTGGCCTCCGCCGCCGCCGCCGCCGCCGTCAGCACGCACTCCCGCGACAGCACCGAACCGGCCTGCCGAGGAACCGGGCGAGTACGTGGCCATGGTGATCGGAATCATCGCCGGCGCGCTCATCGTCGTCATCATCTGCATCCTGATCGTGCTGAAGGTGCAGGGCCGCAACGAGCGTCGCTTCAAGGCGGACGAGAGCAAGGCGTACCTGGCGGGCGGCGGGCGGGCCGGCTCGCCTCAGCCGCCACTGCTGGCCGCCGGCGGACAGACCGAACTGAGCGGCGCGCCCGGGGCGCTGCTGCCCCGGCCACCGCGGCCCAAGAAGACCAAGGATGTCAAAGAGTGGTACGTGTAGTGAGAGAGACAGACACTGGACCAGTCGGTAGTGATATTGCTCGTTGTTGGGCGCGGTGGCGCGGCGGTAGGCAGGCCTCCCTCAGTCTCGATGTACCCAGCTCTTGTTCCGTGCCGCCGCCGCCGCAGCCCGATTCTCGCTTTTATAAGATGATTTCATATGTGATGTTCGCTTTAGCTGTTGGGTCGCGCCTCGCCGCCACGCGGCGGCCAACCAATCAAAGCGCGCGGTGCGACTGTGCGAGTTGTCGATGGGTGCGCGACCGGCGGACAATGGGCGCCGACCCGCGCCGCGCCGGGCGCCGACCACCGCCGGGCGTTCGAGGGCGCCCGGCCACTCCAGGGTCTCTCCAGGGCGCCGTTCCGTTTGTTGATGCCATGTTGTTGGGCCACTCGTCCCGTTCGGTCCACAGTGAAGCAGTTGTGACGTTCATGTTGTGAGAGGCTGCTTCCTCCGAGTCTATAGTATATATCCGTGCTTGGGAATACATCATTGCCGAGTGGGTGGGTGTCCACTCGGCACCGTATAATACACTCCATACCGGAAACGGTGGCGCATTTCGGCCCGGCTACACCACATACCTCGCGGCCAGGTACGAGTTTCACCCAGCTTTTCTATGATCTTGGTCACATATGATTTTCTCCCAAAGCAAGATATGTATTGAAAGGCGTGGAAAAAGCGATCGACAACTCTCAGCAAGTGCCATAAAAATACTTATGACATTGTCCAGGTTACAACTAAGGTCACGCCAGGTGATTAATAGTCAAAATTTCCGATAGTGACATTTATGACATTTATTGACAAAACGGCGTCAACCCGTGAACCAACATAGCTATAGCGTCGTAAAAAAGCGTAATCTATAGCTTATTCGCTATTTTGTCCTATGATGCGATTTAACCTGCACGGTTTGCCTGCTAGTGCCTGCCATCACATTCTCGGGTTAATAGTAAGGGTCGATGCAATATTTCCGGGAGTAAAGGAGGATAATGGATATCTATCAATGAGTTTGCGCACCTCAGATTGTGTCCTACAACAGTTCCATCGATGCTATGCTATGACATGTTTAATATTTTGTTTTCCAAACCAATATTTCCACAGCTGCACTGAAGAGTTCCTTTTATTGTCCCAGCGCGCCAAAGAAGCCATCAAAAATGATTCATTACCTTTCGAGGTGCCAATGTGTTTGTTTCGTTACTTATTTTCCATCACGTTGAACTGTTGGCAAAAGAGGTGCGACGTGTGAATCATCGTAAGAGTGATTTCCGGAAAGTTGAATCCATCGATCATAAATTCCATCAAGCTGAACTACCGTGCGCTGTCATCAAAGTGTATTTCGCATCTCTAAACGTGTTATTGAGGAACTCAACGATAATATGAAAAAGCACCTCTATCTTAATTGCGCCAATAGGCAATCGAGGCAGGAGGCCGCAAATGGGCTTATGTTGTCGCTATTGTTATAAAGTTATTTGAAATACCGTTATAAAGAACATATGTAAAAAGTAGGCATTAGGCATATATAACAATCCAGTATTATTCATGGCCCAAACATTGAAGTCAACGTGTTCAGGACTCAGCATATCACACACAACGAAAGCTCTTAGGCATTAGGACGAAAACAAGCGGCTTGCACATATTATAACAACGACTGTACAGAACAGCATTCAAAACACCTGCGATTGGACAGATGGCGAACAGAAAGTACCGATTCATTGATATAGAAACTTAAACCTTCAATTATCGGCCCTGACTGATGAACGTATCTGACCCCGCAATCACAATTTATTTGTGTGCAATGAGAGCAAAGTGTAAAGATATAAGGCATCCGGGTGTCTTCACACGCTAGGCGCTGAGCCGCAGCCTGCTCAAACAGTGACTCAGAGTGGTGCATGACTTCCCATCCGCTTGCACTTCTATAAAAACCGCTGTGCGCTGTGATCACTGGTCCGCGCTCAAGGCGGTGGCAGCGCCGAGTCGCATGAACCGCCTCAAGGCGACTCGAGCACCATCGAGACTGGGAGATCTCCATTATCATGCGACTAGTACTGTCGAGACTGCGAGATCTCCCGGGACAGCCAGTCGAGGGCTTCGTACAGCCCCTCGCCCTGCGTGGCCGACGTGGCCTGCACGTGCCACGGGCGGCCGGTCATTTTGCCCATGCCCAGTCGTTCGGTGACCTCGCTCGGTGACATCACCCTCGGCATGTCCTGCTTGTTGGCCATGACCACCACCGGGATGTGCTGAAACCCAAGGGGAATCGTCAGAGGCACACCGTAACGGCAAAGGGCTCACTGCATAATGTAACTTTAAAGAATGTCATCAAGAATGAGCTGCCTAGTGCGTACAGCATTCAGCAAGATACCACATTCCCAACGCCACATAAGAATGCCCACATAAACGTTTCCCAAAATCCGCCAGCCGACGCGGCGGCCTTACCCGCAGCTCGTCGTGTTGCAGCATGTCAGCGAGCTCGTCGGCCGCCTCCTGAACGCGCTCCCTGTCCAGCGAGTCCACCACGTAGATGAGGCCCTTGGCGTTACTGAAGTAGTGATGCCACAGCGGCCGCAGGATCTTCTGACCGCCGACGTCCCAGACGGTGAAGCTGATGTTGCGGTACTCGATGGTCTCCACGTTGAAGCCGATGGTGGGGATGGTGGTGACCACCTCACCCAGCTTCAGCCGGTGCAGGATGGTGGTCTTGCCGGCGGCGTCCAGACCCAGCAGCAGGATCCGCACCGGCTGACGGGTGCGCACCAGGCCGTCCAGCGACTCGAGGACACGTGACAGCAGCAGACCCATCGCTGATCACCCGGGAACACTTCTTCAGCAGCACACACTCCGGCAGGCTGAGCGCAAATACGAACTCGGCGCGTCGGTCTGGCCAACTGAGATGCAGCACCGTCTAAGTAGTTCAATCCTCCGCTTTCCACCTGTCGTCTGCCGAGTCTCAAGAGCGCGTCTGTGTCTGCCCTACCTCCCATGGCTGTTGTATTTGTCGGCTCGCACTCGCGTATCTAGGCGGCCGGGCTCACGTATCATCACGTATCGGCCAGCCAGCGTGGCGCCGGCCAGCGTGGCCCGTGGTGCAATGGTCCGTCAGCCGGGCCGCCCGCCGCAGCCGACGACACCGATTGGCCGCCGCCGAGATCGGCCGGCTCGGTGATTGGTCGGCGCGCGTGACTCGGCCCGCTGTGACGTTCCGTGTCGTCATGTGTCACGTCAGTGACCTTCGCGGAAGGAGTTCCCTCCCCTGTTGTGCCGCTGACGCCAAGTAGGGATCAATGGAGCGGCGCGCGTCTGTGACGGTCACACACACACGCCGAATATGTTGGGCGTTGATGAACTTCACTGGCCTGTAGGCGGTAACTGTGTATTTGCGAGTCCAGAGTATGCAAGCAAATACTGCACATACCTACCTATACTAGACTTAGAGGTGGCAAAATGTGGACCCGAGGACCCGGTCCAAAGAACCGGTCTGGACCCATACGGGTACAGACCGGTTCTTGGAAAATTTCTGACGGGTCCAACTGGGTCCTACCATAAACCGTATATCTTGCACACTTCACCTGATTGCAAAATGTGAAGTGAATAGAAAGAAAAAAAATTGTTCATGTATGTTTCTTTGCACACTGTAGCTCATAAGTATTCCCAGTGGGAAAAAGGCTGTTTTACATGATGCAACTAATGATCGTTGCGTCTTGCATTTTTAATTGTAGCCCCTTTGGTCTTTTCCGCTCCCTTAAAATTTTAGTGCGCATCAAAAGTCAAAACGCGTGTAGATTTCTTATCATTTCACATTGTCCAAGTGATACGCTGTAAAATATTCACTAGCAATCTGTAGGGAAAGTTTTACGAGCTATAAATAGCTATATAATTAAGTGCTTTGCATTGCAATTATTTCCATTCGTATAGGTATGCTAAGCCTGTTACCTATCCTATTGCAGGTGCTTTTTCCACCAGACCCGTAAATGACCTAAGTAATCACGTGCCCTTTAGAAGTAAAATATACAATGGGAGGAACTTAAGGCCATGGCGAGTCATTTGGAGCGATTTTTATCGCTCTAGCTCTACTGGATGGGCCACAATCTTTTGCGCAAATTTGGGAATGATGACCTTTGTTGACCTCTGTACACTACATACTCGGTAGGTAGGTTATCAGATAACTTATCTGTAAGAATCTTGGGTAGGTCAACAAAAGGCTAAAAGTGTCGCCGAATGGTTTGGGATACGTATTCCCAACCATAAGGGCGATGTTGTGTGCGAGTTTCAAGTTGATCCAAGGTGTTCCGTAAAATAAGCTGAATCTGGGATAAGGCCCATTGTGTTCACGCTGACCAGGGCAAACAAGGTCACTTTCACACAGTTTGCAGGAAGGGCTACCTGTGGGCTATCGAACGGGCTATCGAGTATCGAATGTAGGCTATCTCGAATTGCAATTATCCCCATCTGTTTCTTTAACTCTCGCCCGGTTGGGGGGGGGGGGTAATATGGGTAGGTAATATGGCCCCCTAAGGTTTTGTTTTCCCTAAATAGCAAGAAAACGGCGGCGCACAGCGCCACCAAATTTTCACAGCGCCACCAAAGGTAGCATTTTCCATGTAAAATGAACCATAAAACATGCATCACACATTTTCACATGTGACCCTCAGTGACCTGACCTCTGTGACCTGACCTGGCATCATCGACCTCAAATAGCAAAATATGTGTTTGACGAACAATGTCAGTTCCCCATCGATGATGTTCAATGCCATGCATGATTTTACCCGATTTTACAACACATTTCTTGAAATACCTGTAAACGGTGAAAATTCGACACTTGACCTGACCTGTGACGTCATCGGTTTGACCGATGTCAATGAAATTGGGTCAAAAGGTAGTTCCCCGTTGGGGCTATCCAACACCTTTGCTGCTTGTCGCTACTTTGCGTGGTTCTCGAGATCTTAGGGGGGGGGGGCAAAATGTCCCCCCCGGGGGCGCGTTGCTCGGTAGACCCCAACGAGGCGCAGGTTAAGATCTGGGCCTCGTTTCATAAGGCGAGTCCGTAACTTACGCCGGTTGGCGGTTTTTGGACTTGTATTGCAACTTTTGCAAGCGCATGTGAAGCGATGATGACAGTTTGAATCGTTGAATTTATTTATCTTGCAAGCAAGTCGCAAGAACAGAAGGGAGAAGGGGAAATACATTTATAGCTTCACATGCGCTTGCAATGCAAGCCCAAAAACCGGCGTAGGTTACGGACTCTCTTAAAAACGATGCCCTGGCCGTAATTGCCGTAGTTTTCCTGACCCGTAAATACCTATTACCTAAGATCACCACGTGACCTTACGAGGTGAAATTGGTAACTTGGGAAAGTGCCTTCAGGACATGACGAGTCGTTTTATGCCATTTTGAGCGCTGTAGGCAGCTCCACTGGGTGGGCCACAATCTGCCAGGGCCTCGGCTAACATGTTAACTGGTGGGCCAAATGGCCCACCAGTGACCCGAAATGGCCCACCAGCCTCAAAGATTTGGCCCACCACGTTCTATATACCCTGGGGATTATTGACGAACACGCCTGATGCGGGCCGACGCTAACCAGCGACGTTTCCGCTCATGTTCTCTTGAAAAAAGAAGAAGTTGAAGTAGCGAAGTGTCGGGAACTTACCTGGGATGGGCTTTCCGATGGCCGAAACGATCCCTCGACAGGCCGCCCGATCGCACAATGCTTCAATTCGTCCGAACACCGGGACGCCATTGCTGAGATCCGAAACCACGTCCGAAAAAAAATGGAACACTTCCGATCCTCGTCACAGTCAACATGATTTCACAAAAGCACTGTTACGCTGTAGACCACTCGAGCAATTCACACGACTCACTTCACTGTCATGTCCTTCAATTTCACAATTTCACGTCAACCACGTGCTCACTCCAAGAATCCAGCGACACCAAACAGACCCCCGCAGCCCGCAGGCACACGGTCGCTAACTGCCGCGGGGCATGGCCGCCCGGCACTGGGGGGGGGGGGGGGGAAGGCTCATCCAAGCCGCGGTAGGGGCGGCGTCAGGTAGGTATGGGAGGATAGAGGATAGAACGGGCATACTGCCTTGGAACGGGCCACTCCACGGTGGTTAGCGACGCCCAGATTCAGATTACTTCCATACCTGTGATGACATTGGGCGGTGCTGGACCAAGCCAGTGTGCACACTGCACGTCCTATGAGAGCACTTCGGTGAAAAATACACTGGTTGGACGGAGTTCCACCTATAGCCTTGGGTTGGACATTTACAGCAGCATGTTGCATACTTGTTTGTGGTTTCGGGTAGGTTTTCGCTTTTGCCTCGCCATTAAAAATATTTAATGTTATTCCATTTCAGCCATCCAGCCCTCTTTTTATTCTTATACACAGCCAAATTACGGAAAGTTTGACAATTGACATCGCTTGTGGCAAATGCAGACTTCTTTCCCGCGAGTTGCTGGGGGGGGGGGCGTTAAACGCCCCCACTTATTTCGCTGGGCGATAGCATAAAAACGGCGCGCCGCAGGCGCGCCAAATTTTGGGTACCTGTAGAGAATTGATTGAAGTTTATTGTGACAAAGTTTCAAAAAAATCGGTCGGAAAATTTTTGAGATATCGAGGTTTTAGTGACGTCATGATTTCTGAGTTTTCGACCAAAAACGGCATATGTTCAAAAAACCATATAAAATCACAGAATAGACATACAGACATGCGGTAAACGCCATTAGACTGCCAATACCATGAACAATCAAATGGCTATCTTCGATTATTGATTATCGTTCCGCATTTTCCAAAATCTTGAACTGAATCTCGGCAATTTCTCGTGACTTCTTCACGACAATGATACATGAACTTTTTGAGCCCAACACGTACACATATGATAAAATGAATGTCACCATCGTGTTCTACGCCCCAAATTACCCATAAAACATGTTTCACAGGCTGCAAATATCAGTTTTGATTTTCGGGGATATGTGCCTACCCGATTGACCTACCTGACCTTGACCCTGACCTATGCTTGAGTGACCCCTACATGGAGCTGACACTCTTGTAGGCCTTATATGATGGAGTGTGCACCGTTTTGACAGAGTTTATGACGAGAGGCGCCCATTGCGAAGTCCTGAAGTCCATGTTACTGAAAGCCCGATTTCAGGTGTTTGACCTGACCTTGACCCGACCTGTGACCTCAAAATTCAACTTTAAAGTACTCATCTGAAGCGTCTCGTCGCGTTCTTTCGTTTGCCGCCTCGTGCGTTTCGCTGCGCCTTTTGGTTCTCGAGTTATCGGCTGGGGGCGTTTGACGCCCCCCCCCCCCCCCCAGCAAACGGTGGGTGGCGAAATACCCCAGCAACTGCCGGGTTAAATCTGTAATTCAAGAGGCCTATGACTATGTTGTGGTGATATTCCTAGCCCCTGTAAATGAAGCAACTGGATCTGAAGACCGGAGTCCTGAAATACAATCCAAAAGTAAGCCGAATTTCTCAACACCTTTCCATGCTTCTATCCTCAGGATACTGAAATCCTTTTCCTCCACGCCGCAACCCCCCTCCGGGCTGGACAGGCAACTTTATCTCATGCGGGCTGCTCCCTTGGAGCGGCACCGCTGCTCCTGAGGGAGCGCACCCCGTAGCCGGGTGCAGTGAGTGCCTTGGGGCTGGGTGGCCTGTCCTCTGGACGGGCTCAGCCCCGGCGACTCACTAGGGTGCCTGTCCAGACCAATGTCTCCCCCTAATTCCTATCATCCTTCCGGCTCTGCAATGGTCTTGTCGACCGAAAGGGCCTAACCCAACAAAACAAAAAACAAACAAAAAAAACAAAACAAAAATTTCTCAACAGCAGCAGACGCTACAATTGTACAAATCTATATTTCGACAAACAATTCATAAAACATAACACAAATGCAGGTTCGGGTCTGCGGCAGAGCACAAACCAGACCATCACAGAGGACTGAGGCGACCCGCTCCCGGGGCTCGCGCGCGCACACACACATACACACGTCCCTCCAACCGACGGAGGTCACACACGCGCACATACACACACAGCACCGCCACCGCCGCCGACCGCACCACCGCACAGCGTCCCTCGGCACACACACACATACAAACAGGGTGGGACGCACTGCAGCAGGGGCGGCGGCGGCGGCGGCGGCGGTGACGGCTACGGCATATCCTGCAGCCTCACACCACTCTGAACGCAGCTGCATACTCGACTAAATCACGGCATCACTCCAATCGACTGTGTAACTCTCAGAGGTAAGGTAAAGAGTAGGAGAAGACTGATAGAGCCGGGCACAGCACCCGGCCTGGCCTGCCCTGCGCTCAGCCGCCGCCCGTACGGCGACGCACCAGCCGGGGCGTAATCTCAACAACACTAAGTAGCGACCGCCGAGGGCCGGCCGTCGTGCCAAAAGCGGCACCGGAGAAGATTCAAATATAGTTATTGCACGGCGGTCGAAGCGCCGCCCGTGGTCACCAGGTAAAACACGGCCACCGCAGCCACCCTCGCTCGACTGTCAGCCACTGGTGCTCCGAGCAGCCACCTGCAGATCATCAGTCGCCACCCGGTATCACTCGAGGCCGCTGGTATCCTCACTGTCACCGCCGGACTCACCACCGCTGCCGTCTGTATCACCAGTTTCCATCAGTATCACTAGTGGCCGCGGCTGGTATCATCACTTCCGCTGTCTGTATCACCTGAATCACTACCACTCACCGCTGGCTGATGCGCTCAGTATCACCCTATGACTGACTGGAGCCTCCTCTGCCGAGCTGGCGACTATCCGAGAGAGTCAGCAGGTCCAGTTCGGATGTCACCTGACCGCTGCCGCCGACATCGCCACCCGCTCCACCCCAGTGCCCGTTACCGTTGGCAGCGGCAGGCAAATCAGCGCCCTCCGAATTGGCAGAGCTGTGACGACCGTTGGGCGTCTTTTTGATGACCGATGCCTTTGGACTGTTATTGATCACATCTGGGTGTTCCCTCATTGCTTCGCATGCTAGCTGCTTCTTCCCGCCGGCTGTCATCTTCGCACCATCTGACCCACCATCCGACTCCTTGATGTTCTCCGGCACTCCGGCCGCCACCTCGGCTCCCTTCGTCCCTCTCCCCGTCACCTCCGTCCCTCCAATGGCCGCCGCTGGCGAGACGGGCGCTCGGCGCGCCTGCTGCAGCGGCCGCGGCGCCGGGGACAGGTTCTCCTCCCGCTGACGTTTACCGGCGGCGGTCTCTTCGATCGAGCAGTCCGCCCACAGTTCGGCATTGTACCGGTCCACCAGCTCCTGTTTGCGAACGCGCCTCTCCATTCGCTCCTCCTCGAGGCGTCGAGCGTGCGCAGCGGCCGCCAGGTCGGGGGTGTCGGCGCGATTCACCGTCGGAGGTCGGGAGAGAAGTTCGCGGAGTTTCGGGCAGGTGCCGGACGCCGCCGAGCCGGGGTTCGACTTCTCGCGCGTCCCGGCCGCCGGGGAAGGGCCGCCCGGCTGCTGTAGAGTCAGAAGACCCGGCTCGGCGTTGTGACGGAGCCGGGGACGGTCCTCAGCTGGACTGCCCGGCCGGGCTGCCGGGGTCCCTCTGCCCGACATGGCGACCAGCACGGAGGCAGCCTCGCGAACACCCCGGTCTTCTTCGTCCGGTGGAGACGGAGGTCGGTAGGACTCGCCGCGGCCGGCCGACGGGGCCGGAGCGGGCGCCACGGCGGCGGGTGCCTCAGTGGCAGCTGCAGCCGGAGCAGCAGGGACGCCCCGAACGGCGACACCGGCCCGGTCAGTCAGCGGCGCGCGGTACGCACACGGACTGTAGCTGCCCATATCCGCGGGCGGCCGCAGCATGGGCCGCCGGAACGGGCCCTCCCAGACGGGCTGCTCGGGCTCGGGCGAGGAGCGCTCGTCGTCGCTGAGCAGCGGCTCACCCCAGTTGTCCGGGTCGCTGTCGTTGCCGTCGCTGATGGTCAGGTGGCCGGGACTGGGCGGACTGAGCGGGCCGTCCGCCGGCTCCGGGCTCGGCCGCCGCGGCCGCTCCTCCTCCACACGCCAGCCGAGGTTCTCCTCGTTGTTGTTGTCGCCGTCGGGCAGTGCGGCGTCCTCACTGATGGTGGCGGGCCGCCCGAACCCGGCGGCCGTCAGCCGCTCGGCGCCGGGCTTGGCCAGCTCCAGCCGCAGCTCAGAGCCGCTGGTGAGTTCCGGCAGCTCGGGGCCGCGCCGGCCGGCGGAGCGGGGACGGCTGAGGCGGCCGGCCGGCTGGGCGCCCGGGGTGGCCGGCCGCGGCGGGCGGCGCACCAGCGGCGGCAGGGACTCCCCAGCACGCGGCTTCAGTTCGGCGCCGCCGGGCAGCACCAGCAGGATTGTGTCAGAGTCGGCCGGACGCTGCGGGCAGCCGCAGCGCTTCACAGAGAGCTGGCCACAGCGGCGACAGTGCAGCAGCGGCTCCAGGCGCGGTGCCGCCAACCAGAGCCGCGGCGCCGAGCGAGACCGCAACGACTAGCCGTCCTGCTTGAGCTGACTGAGCGCGTCCTGGTAGCGCTGGGCAAGCTGCTGCTCCACGCCCTGAGCACACCGCAGACGGAGGTGGAGCGGTCAGAGGGGCCACGCCGGGCAGCCGACAAAGGAACACTCACTGCACTAAACGTGAACTGCAGACAAAATAGTCTGCAAATTGGCGAACACAAACCCTGAAGAAAAAAGTAAATTTTACAAGACACGACAGTTAAATTTTATGTGAAAATGATCAATAACATGCAAAAAAAAATGCATTGCCAGCCATCCAAACGATTGAAAATTTACAAGACTATCGACATTGCATTAAAGGTAGTGTGCCACCTTTGAAAGATTTCCCATTTTATTTTTCCTAGGATAAGAAGCTTCTGTTTTTACCTAATATCGCAAAAAAAAATCAAAAATGGGCCTGGAATAGTGCCTTTTTCGCCTAAAAGTTTTTCGGTTTTTAGATATGTATAACAACTGTAGTGGGCTCACCTGCAAACAGGCGTCGGGCAACAATCGCGAATGCGGCGCACTTGTGACAATAAGCAAAGGTCATTATAGTGTTACGACCATACGACGTACGGGAATGAGTTATCAGCTGTCTATAGTTCGTTTTTCTTAAGTTTGCCCCTCACTGTAAACGTCTTTTTGAACATAGCACGAGAATTGCTAGCTGAATTACTGAGAAAACCGGTTGGCGCACACTGATTTGACAAGATTTCACAGACGATCAATTTCATCAAATTTATTTACTATTTCACAGACTCGTAAATCGTACTTGCCAATACCTACAGGCCCACAGGGATAGACGATTCCTCTGGAATTATGTCTGAACTAATAAATAAATTGCACGGCGCTTAACATAACGTCAAATCGTCGGTGTTCAAAACCTATTTTTGAAAATATTATTCATATCTACAATACAATGTGCGCTAACCAGTTTTCTCAGTAATTCAGCTAGCAATTCTCGTGCTGTGTTCAAAGAGACGTTTACAGTGAGGGGCAAACTTAAGAAAAACGAACTATAATCGTAGACAACACAATGTCGAGCCTTAAACTGTAAGCCCGTATTGTATTGTTTCTTTTATTTGGCTGTCGAACATTATTTATGATTTGAAATATGATTTTATGTAAAATAATTGATATGAAAAAGCCGTCTTATAAGTTATGACCCCATTTCACCACACGCAAGTGGCAGAAATGACAATGATCAGCTGACGCATTTTTCTTGGCCGAAGTCAGAGCGCGCGGCCCGACGCACCACGCGTATTTGGAAATTCCGACCTCGACGAGCATCAGAAGCCACCTAACAGGCGTGTTCGAAACCGCAGGAGATGATGATGAACGGGTTTATCGAAACTTGATTGGATGAGCATATCGGTAATAGCGATTTCAGTGTGTGCATTTATTGTTCATAGTGGTGTGAAATATGGTTGGGGTACGACCGACAACCCGTCGGGGCGAATTTCGCACTGGGGTACTCAAAATTTGAAGAATTTAAGACGTTTCCATGAGTTTTGAAGGTATGGATAAGTTCTAAAAATCCGGTTCTCCTTATCTGGGCCATTAACTCCATACGGTCCAAGAAAGCTGGCACACTACCTTTAACTCGGCGGGCAGCCTTACCTGGATTTTGATCGGAAGCGGAGCCCGCTCATGCTCGGAGGCTGGTTCGATCAAGTGTGTAATTATCTCCTGAAGCACCCGTTGGCTCGAATCTGCCGCACAAAACGACAGGTCAGGGACAGTTGTAGCACATGACACGAAACTCATCAAACTACATATCAGAGGCATTGGGACTATGACAGACGGCCTTCTACTGAGCTCGACTGACACCGGTGTCTACATATCACAGCTAGACTGGCGCTCCACTGTGATACCTAACCAAACTACCAGCCCTCAAACACAAACATCCCTTCACAATACCACACCACACCACCCCCACCCCTCTCTCTCACCGTCCAGCGGCTGCCCCAGCAAACTGCACCACTTGTTGCGGACATCCTCCGCGGCGTCTCGATCGGCAGCCAGTCCGGAGCGGGCGAGCTGCAGCAGCGCCGGCACTGTGGCCTCCTGCGTGAGCTCCACGGCCTGCTCCAGCTGGCCCGAGAGGAACGTGTCCACCGCCCGCTTGTTCAGACCCTGTCGGCAGGAGAGGAGGGACAGTCAGTGCGGGAAATACAATATCGGTCGGGTCAGATTGTCGATGGACTCCATCCCCCACTTAGCCATCCGGTAGGCAACGCCAGAAAGTTCGACTGTGCACGGTGGCTGAGATGAGGTTGAGATGCTTTGGTCATGAACGCCACTACACGTGAAACTCGCATTCAAGAAGAAGAGTCGCAGCCACCTCCATGTCTTTTTTTGCGCAGTTAGTGTAAAAAAAGACACTGTGCACTGTCCACTAACCAGAAACCTAACCCCATCAATCCTACGAACACCAATGACCCCTCTCCTGTTGATGGTCAACATCCCCTGCCCACCCATTCTACGCACAACGGACAACCAGTCCTTTCCATCCCCATCATTCTCTAACCACGATGACCCACTCCTTCCCATCCATTCTATGACCAGGGCCTCGTTTCATAAAGCGAGTCCGTAACTTACGCCGGTTTTTGGTCTTGTATTGCAAGTGCATGTGAAGCGATTACGATAGTTTGAATCGTTAAATTTATTTATCTTGCAAGCAAGAACAGAAGGGAGAAGAGGAAATAAATTTATCGCTTCACATGCGCTTGCAATACAAGCCTAAAAACTGGCGTAAGTTACGGACTCGCTTTATGAAACGAGGCCCATGACGGACCCATCCAGTCCGCGCTGTGCCGCCCTCCCCTCCCCATCCACTGACCATGATGGCGCGTCGTCGGAAGTTGGCCAGCAGCTGCGGGTCCAGGCCGCGGTCCGGCTGCTTCTCCGTCACCAGCTGCTCGTTCCGATCACACGCCTGCAGCAGGTACATCAGTGCCTCCGTGTACCTGGGGGACACGGCGAGGCGGGTGACACGGCGGTTAGCGGAAGAATAGTGTGAGATGTTTGTGATATACAGACAAGTCTGAACAACAGTCATGATCAACCGAAACCAACGTTTATCGTGATGATTATACTCTGAGTTAATATCACTCCAGAGCTGCACGAATGCTTCCAGAGCAGTGTGCATAAGTGAAGACATGGGTATATTCTGGCACAGATACGTAGAGCAAAATAAACCCGTCAATGAACAAACTGTGATAGTTTGTCTCACGATTAACATCAAATACATCGCTATCTGATTACCAACAGCTGCTGAGCCCCGTCCGTCAATCGCCTTCCCGGCAGTCTCTCTATCCTGCCCTCCAGCCCTGTTCTGCCCTACATCAGCTGTCTATCCATTCCCTGCCCTGCCGTCTAGCCCCGACCCCCGGAGCGCCAACTTACTTCTCCTTGGCCAGTTCCCCGAGGCCGAGTACGGTCGACCAGGCGATGAAGCGGAACTCGTTGTAGTGCACGTGCCAGCAGCGGTACTGGCGCCGCTCCTCGGCAGAGCACCGCTCCACCAGCTTACCGAGCTCCAGCGAAGCCGTCTTGTACACATCGCGCAGACTGTGCCGGTAGAGGGGGGGGGGGGGGGCGTCAGAGAGTGGGTGGGATTCTGGGGTAAAGTAACTATCTAAGCATGCGTTCTTGCCTTATAGGACGCATGCGTTCACATGCGTTCACATGCATGCGTTCAAAACACCGTCCGGCCATGTTGACAGTGCCAGGATAATGACGAGGTGACTGTCTCTACCTCAATGTCTCGCACTGTGAACTGTCCTCGCGAATAGGGTCAAATCACCCTATTGCTACTCACAGAGAGTGAGCTACATACTCCATCATGTACCGGATGGGATCCCCTCCCGCTCCTCACTCACACTGGCAAAGCACTGACGGCCCGCTGGGTGAACCGTTCCCCTATGAACCGGATGAGATCCCCCTCCGCTCCACACTCACACTGGCACAGCGCTGACGGCCCGGTGGGCGAACTGCTCCAGTAGCAGCCAGTTGAGGTCGCGCTGCTCAGCGCCGTTCCTGGCCAGGTAGACGGCCATGTTGCTCATGCGGTGGTCGATGCCGCCCGGGTCAGAACTCATCTCCTCCGACAGGTCGTACACCGACTGACGCGAGCGCAGCGCCGCCTGTCGGTGGATAAGAGTGTCATCGAACTGGGTACGGGACGGTGCAAGAAACGATATCCGTGCAAATAAGACAGTTCATCGTAGACTTTCGAACACTCTACACTTCAGTGGTAGATAATGGAATAATGGAACAGTGGTAGATAATGGGCTTGAACGCTTTGCGTAGAACAATGAATTGTAGACTTCAGTATACCGTGTAGTACAAATGCTTGGTCATTGGGGAGCCCTCCGCCATGAGGCCGACGCGCCATACCTCCTTGAGCACCTCCTTGACGCTGGTGTCGGGCAGCGCGGCGTCCACCGTGGCCTTGAGCAGGTCCAGTGTCTGCGGCAGGCTGATGGCGGCGTGTCGCGCGCTGAGGTCCTCCCACTGCCAGCTGGTGGCCGTGCTGGCGCAGTCCTCGGGCTCCTCGGCCATGGGCTGGTCGCCGCCCGCGCCACCGGCGCACTGACACACAGAGGAAGACACGGAAAATGGTGAGTGGTGAAGTGACCAACAATCGGGAAAAGCCACAGAAACCACACTGAGCTGGACATTAAAACACCATCATTCTAAAATGATGTCTTATTATCGACTCTCCCCAACTCGTAAATCCTGCCACAGCTACAGACCGTCATGATGATCCCTATGCGCCACTCCGAACACTCGCCACGGCGCCCTCTGAACAGCTCCACCCACTCCCCTAGTCACCACAGTGTCCTCTGAACAGCCCCCCTCCCCTCCCCCACACTCACCACGGCGTCCTCTGAGGCGCCGCCCTTGGGCTGCGAGTTCCAGTTGTCGATGGCCTCCTGGAACTGCCGGTTGTCCTCGTCCACATACTGTCGCAGCGGCAGCGACAGCGACTCGGCCTCGTCGGCCGGCTCCACCATACCGGCCTCCTTGTCCACCCGCAGACGATCTGGTGTGCAGCAGGTCCGGAAAGTGAGAGAACACATCAGGGTAGGCACGGGGGAGCAGGGACATCGCTATACAGTGGGCGCCGGAACACGACTCATAGGGGGGACGTGTAAAAGAGCTCAAGGGCGGGCAACATTCACAGGCGGGCATGGGGTATCACTGTCTTATGGGCGGGCACGGAGCACGGCCTGTCTGGCCTGTGGGTGGGCAGGCCAGAGATAAAGGGGTGAGCATAAACAGCGGCCCATCTTAAGATGTTAGCCAGCGACACATGAATTCTTAAAGTGAGCGAAATGCCATCACCAGCAGCACAGTCTAGGTCGACTGTAAAACGGATAGAGAATGGACTGGTGATGCAAAACATTTTAACTGCGAACGTGAAACAACAAAAGGAATTGTGCTCGAATAATGGTATTAAATCGTATTAAATCGTTGGATTGCTGTCTTCGTCAACTTCAATTCCTGTTGCCCTATGAGGACTGCAGATATTGTGGACTTGTTTCGGTAGTTCTAGCCATGACAAGAGTGATCAAGTCTAAGTGGACGCAAGGACAAGGTGATGATAGTAAGGTCGGTCGCTCACCGTCCATAAGCTCGGCGCGGTTGCAGTCGATGTAGACCAGGCAGTAGGCAGACGTGTTGTGGTGGCCGCCAAAACTCTCCAGACACAGACTGTCCCACGTCGACTCGGACACCGTGTTGTCGTTAAACTGGACGACAGCACGGGGTTCGGTGAGACCAGAAAGCACTAGACGCCGTTCGTGAGTCACGGGTTTGTGACATCCCAATGAGGACACGTTCGATCGTAGATATCAGTGGGATGGAACTCACAAATAGACCAATGTGTGTGTCGTACGATGTTTGTAACCTGGGCTAAATTAATTGTGGACTTGTGGTATGGCAGTTTGTGAAAAGCGATAATGTGAACACATATATATTGCACAAAACGGTTTCGATATTACTTCATCAGTGTGCAACTATATAAATAAAACACACAAAATACAAAACGGAGACGAAATAGGTACAGCAGAGCAAATTAATCAAATCAATTGTGGACTTGTTTCGGTAGATAGCTACTTAAATATAAATAACACCGGAAGGCCGTTCATTACCCCGCAATAAGCTCCATCCCCGCCCACCTGGCTACCATTCGTCGCGGCGCGTCCCGGAATGTCCCATGACCTCAGCACCGAGAGCACTCACCTTCAGCCAGACCCGGCGCCGCGGGTGGAACACGTAGGCCCAGTAGTGTCCCGAGCCGGCCTGGCCCTCGTGCACCAATACAGAGTGTAGGCGGTACGGCACCTGGCGGCCGGAGGATCGGTCAGTTGGTAACACAGCGCATTGCGTCGGTGAGAACAGCCACCCATTGTGAGTATCCGGTCCGCCGACCGCCGCTAGTAATCCGATCAATCATAGACCTCTGTATACCGAGTTATACAGAGGTTTATGTTTCAATATTTCTCTTACCTGTCGCAGTCCCGGCTCGTCAAACATGTTCTCGATGCGTGCGGTGATCTCGGCCATCTGTCGCTTCAGCTCCCGAACCTGTCGGTCTACCTCGTGGCTCCAGCGCTCCAGACACCTCTGAGGAGCAGATACAGACACAGAGGGTAGAGATGCATCAGCACAATGCAAGCACAATGCATTGCATATATAGATACACGCAATACAAGTAGTCAAAGTGCAGACACAGATATAATATATATTCAGACATGAGAACACAGATTTAACGTTTAAATACAAAGAATACCTACTCATATTTAGATCCAGCAACACGGATACGAGGAAATGAACGGACCGATACCGTGAGATATCAGCTGGATACAGCTGGACACCGAATCCACTCACTAAGCCCCCAATACTGTTAGGGCGAAAAATGAACTCCCGGAATGACAGGCGACAGCCTGTATGATCGCTGAGCTCGGCGAACGATGCTGCCGAGTACCTCTCCCGGGCATGCTGAAGGCACAGGTGTCCGCCTCATAGCCTCACCTGAACCACTGCCAGCTCCTCCTTGGGTGTGTTGGACGGGCAGAGGGGCGGCAGCAGCGGCTCGCGCTCCGTGCACGACTCGTCGGCGGCCGGAGGGGACATCTCCTGGTCCGACTGTCGGCGATGGTCAGTGAGTCAGATACAGGAAGATACAGATACTGACGAGGCTCCTGGTCCGACTGTCGGCGATGGTCAGTGAGTCAGATACAGGCCGGAGATACAGATACTGACGAGGCTGCTGGTCCGACTGCCCGTGGAAGTCCACAGTTAGACAGAGGAGGGTACAGCGTATGATATCGGCGCATTAAAGGAGCACAGATACACGGGAGCAAACGGGGAACACAGAAGCAAGAGAGAAAATGGAGCATATGAACATGAGGATATGAGATTAAATTAGATCGAGAACAAAGTACGAACACAGGGTGAGGTAACAACCTGCACAATGGTAGCAGGTTGAGGTGATACACACAATCAGGAACTACAGAAAATACCAGGTTCTCGCAGCAACAGTCTGTGATGTATGTACAAAGGCAATGGTCATGATCTTCTGATATTTTATTATCATATTCATGACACTCAACAGCCCCCACTGTCATTAACAGTGGCGAAGTTTAGCAGACACACCATGCCACTGGATCATAGGAATGTCGCGCTATAAGCGTTGGTTGACATCTGGCATAAATACTAGCGCCGCGGATCCCCTCAGTAAGATGGTTCAGCAGCCATAACACGAGCCGCGACGGTCGGGTCCAGCCTCAGTCTGTCAGTCGGGGGCGCCCGGCGCACACGGAGCAAGTTTAGAGCGAGCGAGCGGGTGCGACGTCACTATCAGGCCCTATCGGCGCCATGGGACCCTCAGTTCTGGTGGCCGCTGCGGTTCTGGTGAGCGGCACAGCGACTCAAATCAACGAGTCCTACGGCCTGCTGGCCAGCCAGGTGGTGAAAGGTATCGTACACGCCTGCTCCGACGGCATGCGGGAGACGGTTAGAGAGGAGGTGGGCCGGCAGCTCGCGACCACCGGCCGGTCAGTGTCCCAGGAGTGTCCGGCCGGCTGGAGCCGCCACGGAGACACGTGCTACCTCATCCCGCCGCGGCTGGCCAGCTGGCCCGTGGCGCACCACGTGTGCGCCACACTCGACAGCCGCGCGCGGCTCGCCTCCGTCCACCCGGACTCGAGACGGTTCGTCGAGTCGCTGGTGGAGTCGTTCGGCGCGTCGCGTGGAGTGTGGATCGGCCTGGCCCGTTCTCAAAGCATACACGAGTGGGTTTGGTCGGACGGAACACCGCTCGACCTGGCCCGCTGGGAGCCGGGCCAGCCCAACAACGGGGATCGAGAGAGGTGCGCGCATCACGGTTGGCCGGGCTCCTCTCGCACAGGGTGGCACGACAACCACTGCACCACGGAACTCAACCTGCTCTGTCAGCTCCGTATCGCCCAGTGACAGCTCTGTGCTCCCCAGTGACGGTGTGGGTGTGCTACAGTGTCTGGAGTACAGCAGCACAGTGTCTGTTTAACGTTATTTTTGCGAGGTTTAGAGATAACAATGTATGCAGCAATCATCACGTAAATAATATTGTAGACAATCGTGATAATTAAGAATCATCAGCAAGGGGAGTTGCTGACAAGGATCGAAAATACCAAAAAAAAAAAAACATCAGACTGGGTAATTTGCCGATGTGATAATAAAACTACGGAGCGGAGACGTGGTGGCGGCCGCGGCAGGTCCTTCCAGAACCACAGGCTGCGTCCGGCTCCGGCCGGGTGGAGGGATAAACATTAAACAACACGAGTTGTAATAAATGTGAAAATAAAACAGAGTCACAGCACTCTGCAGGAGAGGTCCACTTACAACTTGGCCTGTCGGTAAACGTGAGAAAAGTAGTTCCTTTTGAAACCCTTACTAAAGTAAAAATATTCACTCATAGCTTGCATTTCGACCCACCAGACCAAGACCTGACAAAGATGTCTGCTTGTTACACGGGCCCACAGAGAACACGAGCACTCCTGCCCCGGCCGGTCTGTCGGCCGGGGTTGTGGAGGGCCGGTCTGTCCTCCCAACTATGATGTCCTGAAAATTTATATCATCCAGACAGCTAACATAATTGGAAGACGATCAGAAATGATCCTGCATCTACTAGATGGAGTCGACGAAATAAGTCTAAGTCTAAGTAAGTCGGCGAACCGTGCCACCCTCCGCAGTACGTACCGGCAGTGGGGCGGCGGGCACGGCGGCTCTCCGGCCGGCGCTGGGACTGCTGCTGGGCGAATCCACCACCATGCTGGCCACACAGCGCGGCACCAGGTCAGGTCAGGGGTCGTCAGCGCAGAGAAGGCTTCTCAGATACGTACAGATACATAGTGTTATTAACGTAGAAATTCGAGCACAGCTAGATAATAGATATAAACAGCGTGACTAAATCCACAAAACACATCTGCTACAATCAGACAAACGCAGTATCGTCATAAGCACAAATCGCATCGCAAGAAAGGAGCAGCAACCTTCAGGAGACAGGTCTGCTCTTACAGCCGTCAGAGGACAGTCTGAGCTCTCGGGGAATGGGCGGCAGCGGCCTCAGGGAACACTGGTATCCGTGTATCAGAGTGGTCTGTCTGTGCTCCGTCAGCTCACCTAGTCACAGCCGTGGCGTTCTCCATCTCCACATCGGGGGCGGGCTCGTCACCGGCCGGGTCACCGCGCGCGTACTGCAGTGTGTGGCGCAGCAGCTGACCGAGCGGCAGACGTGGCGCACTGGCACCGAAAGACAGGTACCTGCGGCGAGTGAGGGGGTGATCAACATGTGCTCGACTGATTGTTACTAAAGTTAAAAAATAAAAATAAATAAAAACCATCGAGCGAGTTTATGCGGCTTTTTACGTCAAACATGTAAAACGCAGACTATCTTACGACCAACGAAAACAATAATTTGCATAGAATTTAGCATGTTTACTTGGAAAAGAAGCAGACTTTAGCCACCAATCCCACCGGCTTAATCCCGGTCGCAGTGAACCTACCGCCCCCGCTACGGCCCACCGGCCCCCGCAGCAGCCGCAGTGCGAGCTGAGCCGACTCACTGGTCGAGCCGTTTGCGCAGCTGGCGCAGTTTCTGGCGCAGCGTGGCGATCTCGGCGCGTTTCACCGTCACCATGTTCTTGTTGATCTCCAGGTAGCGGTCCATGTACATTTCCGAGGGGAAGGTGAGGCGGTCGTGGATCTTCTCCGTCCGGGCCAGCGCCTGGTCGAACTGCCGGCGCAGGGACGGGGGACGGGGTTAGCTTCGGCCGGTAGTTGAGCAAGACGCAGGCGATACAAGACACAAGTTTGGCAGGTATGGCACGGCTCAGGCTGAGGTCAGCTCACTGGAGACGCCTCAGCGCTGTACAGTGTAATTCACTGAACAGATCACAAACAATGATGAACACTTGAGCCGCTGCCCGCTATATTCTAGTTAAACCACTAACTATGACGCTGCATCTCAGTGTATCCCGCCAAGCTACTGAATCTCTTATCCATCCTATCCAGTATCATCCCTGATTAGCCAACCAATCCCACCTCACCCCTTCCCAGCCACCAGTCTGACTCACGTGGAACCTGCTGAGCTCGAGCAGCAGCACGGGTGGCAGCACGGTGAACCACTGCTGGGCGCCGGCACCGGGCGTCATCGACGCCTCCAGCGCCTCGTGCAGGTCTCGGCCGGGCACCACCGACAGCGGAAACTGGCCGAACGTCTCCGGCTGGGCGTACGACACGCCTGGCGAGACGAGAGGAGGAGGGAGCGGTGAGGGGTGGGTGGGCAGCTGCAGACCGACAGTCTGCACCAGGGCCTCGTTTCATAAAAGGAATTACTTACGGCGTTCCGTCAATTATGCCAGATTTGGCGTATTTGATGCCAATTCGGTTTCATAAAGCCGGAGACCGGAGTAATTCACGCCATCGAAAGTACGGAGCTTCATTTACGGCAAATGCTCGATTCCGGACCAATTGATGCCATTTGGGTTTCATAAAACGACGTAATTAAAGCCAAATATTTTATCAAGCTCTTGATATCAGTGGTGTAAACTACGCACAAAAATGTTGCGTGATTTTGAATTAATGTGAAGATTCGAAGCTAATTTTTAATATATTTTATAATGTTGAGCCCGGTGAGGAAGAAAGAACAGCCAAAATGAGAAAAAGAAACTGCAAATCTTCTGTACCAGTCGCTTTTTGTGGCCACTATCGGAATTTTGTTTATTCGCCGCGCCGCGCCACTTTCGTAGTTAGGCACTTCTGCTTAGCTGGCTTTCTGCTGTTTTTAATATATTGTTTTAATAAAGGATGGTCATCAATATCAATTTTGTTTTTTCATGAAATAATTTTTAAGATTTAATTTCAACATAATTGTTTTATAAATTCTCGTAAAAAAATAAGTGTTGACATGAAATTGTAATTTGTAGGATGCTTGATAAATTACGGTAACTACGCAAATGTGCTTAGTTACGGAGGTGTAAACAATTCCAGTTGTGGCTTTGTGAAACGGATTTATTTGCGCTCCGTAGTTTGAAAGGGTGTGAATTACGGAAAGGTGTAAGTTACGGCAGAGCTTTATGAAACGAGGCCCAGGAGGGGGTCGAATCGCAAACAGAAACGAGCACATCCGAGCCGCCGTGTCAGAAAAACGCCGACGCCAGTGTTTCGGGAGCGAAGGAAGGATTCTCAGGTTTTAGCCGTCTGCTAAAACAGGACGTGTCAGGCTATCAACCATCAATAATTTGAGGAAGAAAAGGACATTCTTTGGAAGACCTACGCTTTGCAAAACCCAAATCAGCCTCACACTTCACCCATATCCCAATCAAAAAGTCACCATCACAGACGAGTGGCCAATGCTGGCGTTGCCCCTCCCCCCCCCCCCCCCACACACACACACACGCACCGCCACCACAGTCATCTACCTACCATCGCGCACTCCCTCCGTCTTGTACTGGCCGTAGAACAGGCTGATCATGGGGTTTCGCGATCGGCTGTCGCCCCTGCCGGCTTCCTCCTCCGTTTCGGCGTACTTGAACGCCTCCTCGAGCCACTCGAGTAGCTGCGGCAGACCGAGACACGCGCGTGAATATCCAGCAGTTGGTGTGGTATTTGTGTTTAAAAACAATATCGAACAGAATAGAAAGGAACGATCTACTTGAATGTGCCGGTTGGACGGTTTACTGCCGCTGAGAGCTCTAACATGCTTACTTTTTATTTTTGATGCCAAGGAAAGTTACTAAAGATGCGGTTCATTATATTCTCGTACGCACCGATTCCTCAGTTTCACTCATAAAAAGGCTATCCAGTATTCAAGAACCGCGCCTGGATTCCCGCCGACTTGTGCTCGTAAGGCAGCCGCTGCGGCCCGGGCCGCTCACCTTGTGTGTGAACTCTGAGATGTCCTGCTGCGAGTCGGTACCACCGCCGTCCAGCACCTTCTTCAGCAAGTCGACGGCAGCGCTGGGGTCCACGTAACGCTTCTCGGAGGCGACCAGCAGCGCGAACAGCCGGCGCAGCTCCAGCATAAACTGGCCGGTCCGCTCCTCCTGACGGTAGCACAGGCCGGGTGAGGAGTCAGGTGGGATACAAAACGTGCTGGTCGTAATGACTTTGGCAATCTACTGGACTAAACAACAGGCATACACAAAAAAAGAGTAAAAACAAGACATGCATTGGAGATAATAAGTGACAATGGTGAGCTACCGGTGCAGTCAGCTTTCATAGCCATGTGAGCACTCTTCCTGCGTATCATCAAATAGTTACTTCAATGTTGAACCACCTTACAATACGATCACCCTTCACCAAGTCCTCCTCGCCTTCTCTCCAACTGCTCTTCCCTCACACCCACCTGTGCCGAGGGCCGTTCGCGTTTGACGGGCCGGTAGCGCAGCACGAGGCCACGGAAGGCGGGCAGGTGGAACAGCGACTGGACAACGGCGCTGAACCAACAGGTGTTGCCGACGTTCTTGAGACCTACCGGCCAGTCGCCGTCACTGCCGAGACGCACAGAAAAAAGACAATGTCAGTGGGAGAAACGCCAGTCTGTGGGGACAAAGGCTGGTCCGTGGGGACAAAGGCTGGTCAGTGGTCATTGGGGACAAACATCAGAGTGGGGCGAACAAACGTTGGTATTGGCCATCCAAAGGCACTCATGGTCACAGTCAACAGCATATACAAGCTTCAGTCAAAACGCCTGTCAATCACTAATTAAGAGTCAGCCTCCATCGGCGGAAAAACCAGCATCCAAACTAACAAGTACTGCCCTCAGTCAACGTCAAATATACACATGTCGAAGTAAAACCCCAGTTTCAAACACCAGCCTTGATCAATGGCAATCACATAAGTACACAGCCAATATCGTACATCGGGTTCATAGATAAAATGTGAAGTGAATGACGTGACAAAGTACACTGAACTTCACATGACTTCAAGAACAAAGAGTGCTCTAAGGTTCGGTCAACGTTATGAAATCAGATAAGGAATGACCGGAGGTTTGTCAATAGTTAAAACACTATTCGTTAGAATTGTGTTTTTCTATTGGAAAACAAATCTGAGTTCCCTGACAATTTGGCAAAAGCTGCCTGAGATCAGTATTTTTGCATAGGACTCAGTGTCACCACCTAATATCGGTCCACAAAGGTGCCTTATCAGGGAAGTCCCCTTCAGATAGATCCAAATGTTTTCGGGTCATAACATAGATTAAAACGCAGTTCAAGAACAAAACAAAGCAATTATGAATGCAGTCCTGCCATGAATAACCATCAGCCTGTGAGCATATGGGACCGACAAATTCTGCAAGCATAACTAAAGTAACATCCAGGTTGACCTTAGCTCGGCTATCCGCGGACCACATCCTCACCGTATCCGCTCGTTGGGGTTGTGCGGGTCCAGCCAGGGCGAGCCTCTCTTGCGCTTGGTGCCGGCGTTCTGATCCGCTATACTGGCCTCCAGCACCCTGCGGGGACATGGCAGGAGTAGGACAGTCGTTATTTGGCAGCAGTGATGACAGTGTGAGGGCTATGACAGGAATTGGGCCGGATCAACATCATGACGGCAGCGACGAATCAGTGTTGAAAAATAATGATACTGATAAGGACAACGTAGTGCACAGACTGAGCTAGAGACTGTTCTCTACGCCGTACATTAAGTTTAAACTGCTATTTTTGGAGAGAAAACTTTGAATCATAAAAACATCACTCGGTAATTCAACCCTACGACACCTCTGCCATGCAAAGGCAAAAACGATTACGTTCGGGTGACCTCTGGCCTGACGAAATGACCTCTGACCTCTGACCTGACGTAATCGTTTTTTGCTTTGCACGGCAGACCTCCGCTCCACTACCCCCAGTCACGGCATTATGCGTCTGTGACGGTGCTCACTTTGCGATGTCCTCCTCCTCGCGAGTGATGCCAGCAGAGGCGGCGGCCACGCTGCCCGAGGCGCTGCCGCTGCCGCCGCTGCCCGACGCCCGATCCTGGAGGCTGAGTTCGATGGCGCGCCGCAGGTCAGTGTCGCTGGCGTCCGCCGAGCTGAACCGCACGCGCCGCTCGGCCGGACGCTGCTGGAAAGAGAGGGGAGATAATAAGAGAGGGAAGGAGGGAAAGGGGAGGTTAGAGAGGGCTCGCAAGGGAACTTGGAATCAGTCAGGGCAGTCGAGAAGCAGGCAAAGTCCATCAGACTGGTCCAGTTACCAGGGGGAGAAGAGTAGAAGGGGTCCGTGAGAGTTATGGACATTAGGTGATAAACTATGCAGTAATAAAGATAATGTGGCACAAAGCCATACTTACGAGCCATACTCGTATGCTTTCAGGTTCTCACCACTGCATGTGACTAAAGCCTGAAACAGACTATTTCCGCAGTCAGGAAATCGCATGCGAGAGCCTATTCAAATATATGGAAGCGCGCTCGCATCAATCGCACGCACCTCCCGCATGCGATTGATGCGGGAAGAATCATAATGTATTTGAATAGGCTCTCGCATGCGATTTCCTAAACGCCGAAAGAATCTGTTTCAGCCTTAATATGACTAAGCTCCCGTCCCCTTGCATCACAATAACCATTCGTCACCACTCCCCGGCCTGAGCCCCCACATCCAAACTGCACTCACGGCAGCCCAGTGTCCCTCTACACTGAGCCCCACGCCCCACCGGTACTGTCCCTGACTGACTCCCCCGCCGGCCGCACCTTGGGCGCGGGCTGGGCGGCGCGCGGCGCCACCGGCTCGGCCGGCTGGTCGGCCGTCTGGCAGCCCTCCACCAGCAGCGCCACGGCGCGCGCCACGTCGTACGAGCCGCCGGCCGCGCGGCTGTCCATCAGCGCCCGGCTCAGCACCTCCTCGTCCTGAACGCCCGTGATCTCGCGCAGCTGGTCCAGCATCTGGGCCGCCTCGCGCTCCTGCGGACACGTGCCAGGAGAGGAGGAACATAAGGTGGGGGAGGGTCGGGGGCGTGGGGGCGTGAGCCGGAAGAGGGTCGCCAGGAAGAGACATCTGAAGTCAGCTAAATGTGATGAAAAGCTGTTATATATCACAAAAAGTTAAATGTAGTTGTACTTATAGTATGGTTTTCTAAGCATTATGTACACTGTACTCTTCATGTTGCATGGAAATAAGTAAGTTGGCGCCCTTGATATGCATTGAGAATTGCGTGCCAGTCAACTGTAGCAAGCATAAATAACATAGGTACTTCACAAAAAATACAAAGAATATCCATTAGACATATTCAAAGTGATAACAGTTTGATAATGAAAAATGAGAACTGACTGAGGTGAGAAAATCTGTGGTAAGACAGAAAAAAACATGCAACAAAATTACAACCTGTTGATGACCACCACCTTTGCCTGCAGACTGTATAATCCCAGTACTTACCGTGGACTGGAAGTAGGTGAAGGATGACTGATTGACAGTCATTGTGGCTGGAGTTCAAGTGACTCCCACCACAAGGACAATATGCTTTCTTCAAATGTACAACTGATTTTGTTTATATGTCAGCATATAGATAAGAATAACACAATCATTATACAGTAACTTCCTAAGACTTGTAGTTGAGTTGATACTCCACTTCCTGAAATGAAACATAAAGATTACAGCAATGCATGAATATTTTTATTAACCCTCGCCTGTATTGGTGTTTTTCTAGCCACAAACGTGTAAGGGGGGTTCGTTGGACCGTCATCATCCTCATCGCGAGCCGACGTCATCGCCCGTGACCAGTGCTGGAAATGAGGGCGCTTTCTGGTCCCAGCGTTTTGTTCTCCGGGTGGCTTAACCCCGTCTAGCGCTTAGCCTTTCGGGACCCTCTCAGAGCTGCGATTGTTTTCGCCGCTCGGCCCATTCGGGATGCAAAGTTGATATTCACACAAAGTTTATTTGGGGCCTCTGCATATTAGACTTCGAAATTAATCAATTTTACAGAACCTTTCTCTTTCATCAATATGCATACATTTGACAGTAAGTCCAGACTCGGCTGGTTTGGCTGGCCCTAAAAAAGCTTTGTGTGACTATTAACTTTGCATCTCGACTGGGGCGATCAGCAAAAACAACCGCGACCCTGAGACCTGAGTGGGTCCCGAAAGGCTAAACGCTGGACGGGATTAACTTGCCCGGAGAATAAAACGCAGGGACCAGAAAGCGGCCTTATTTCCAGCACTGCCCGTGACATTGGCTCGCGGAATGCATCATACCCTGCACACAAAATAGCCGGCTGCTGAACAGCGCTCTGGAAAGCTGGGCATAGCGAACACACCTACATCAGCTACATGGGAAGTGCGCATCACATTGTCATATTATTTTTGTTTTTTGCAAGTTCAGTGTTTGTGATGATTTTCTATGGGCATTTTTCCATTTCTGAGCAAATTATGATCCTAGTTGTACGATTGATATAAACAAATTTTGAGACTGCAGGTACTAGGTAGCATTTCATACCATGATTAGCCCAGGACGATTTTCTGCCTATTTGAAGTCACAGTCAGTTGAGAGATAATTCTAGCACATTCAAGCGTATTTTATTTCAGCAATGCTGTTGGAAAAATCATCTAACTACTTACGATTGAGGCGAGGCGGGATTCCAATTCAGATTGGGATAACCTGGCACGGAAACGTTGAAACTATTTATAGATAGCCGACAATAATCGAAAACCATACACTTACGTAAGATTCAAAGAAGCCGCACTTTACAACTCACAAAAAAGTATGTGTTCGCAAACACTGATCCACTTGACTCACTTTTCTTTACTTATTATCCGAGAAATTCTCGGCACGGAACGCCCATAATTTTTTTCTGCACCGTAATCTAAAAATAGACTACAGACACGGCGCACTAGCGACGAATCATCGGTCACTCAGCTGATATCGAGAGCCTGTTCAACGCCTCGATCGCTAGCACGTTTCACTCAAGTTTCTATGGCAATCGGAATTTTGAATGAAAAAAGTTTCAATTCAATTCTATTCTGCTAAATTATTTTTAAATCAATAAAAGCTTCTAATATTAGCAGCAGATTGATATCCGTGAATCTGCTACTGGCAGTCAGAATATATTCGGCCGGGTCCATTATGCTGCTCTGGCAGTCGGCAGATGATTGGCCGAATGTCTGTTGTCCGTCTATCTGTAAGAATCTTATGTATCTTTGATATCTTTTAACTGATCCTTCCTCCGTCAGCCATCTCGGTCCGATCGCACATCCGATAAGCTAGTCTCTACTCCAGCATCTAAAGCAGTCCACAAATATCAGCACTCTGGCGAATACGCTTTCACCACGACGCACCTCCGAGAAGACGGATATTATGAGCCCATTCGACGGCCAGCCCGGATCCCACAGCAGTCTCCACGGCCTCCCACCGTTCCCCAGAGCGCAGGCATCACACTGGGTGCGGGTGTTAAGCGGCATGTATTTAGGAACAAATGACAGCAGCGATGAGTCCAGTTCACAAAGATGAGGATTACATTACAACGTTGTGTGTGCGCACGCGGGCGCGACTCCACTGGCGACACATGTCACGACTAAAAAACGGCGCACGCCGCGCGGCGACTGCGGGGGCCGGCCAGGCGCACGCGCCCGCAAAAATTCCCACACACTGGAAACGGCCCGACAATCTCCGCAGCCCAAGGTAAAGCTTGCCCGAGCCTACAGCGCGCGAGCCGTGCGGCCGTGCCCATCGGGCACGGGCCGGGTACGGGCGCCTGCCCTCGCCTCTCCGTGTCTCAAGTGACACTCTCGCGTTCGTCTTGCTCGCTCGCTCTCTCTCGCTCTCGCTCACGTTCGCTCTCTTTCCCAGCAATATAACACTGGCGTCGTGCGGAGAGCGTGTATGCGCGCGCGCGCGCCGCCGGCCGCCGCCGCCCGCCATATATCACATTCATATACACGCGCAGCGTCCACCGTCAAACACAGAACCAAATGCAGACAGCTTCCAAAGAGCGTCACAATGTCCCCTGAGCCCTAGAGACATTGGGATCCCTTTGGATGACGAGCAGCACACGCGTGACTTATAAAAATCGGTGACAGCGGCGGCGGTCCGGCGGCGGTCGGCGTCAACACTCGACAAAAAACCGCACTCGGTTCGGCATATACGCTCTATCCATATATCGCATTGTTCAAACATAGAATGTATGTGCGCGCCCGACTTGCGGGAGCGCGCGCTGGCAGTAGCCAGGCGGCCGGTGGGCTGGTTCTCCTTTCCGTGCGCATAATCAGTCTGTGTGTGTGTATTCACTACGGGTGCGTAGAGGGCCCGTGCTTGCCGCCGCAGGCGTGACAGCGCCGGCAGAGTCGGTAGCAGCCGGCCACCAGGGGGTAGCAGCACAGACAGGGCAGCAGCGCCGACAGCAGGGTGAGGCCCAGCCACCGGCGCGCGCAGCGCTCCTCGCGCGGCGCGCACGCGCACGGCCCGCTGCCAAAGTCGCCCTCCGAGTCGGCGCAGCAGTGGTAGAGCATGCACTGGGCGGCCGGCAGACAGGTGACCGCCTCCAGGCAGCTCCGCACCGGGTCCGGAGCGTACTCGCACTGGCCGCGCCCGTTCGACTCCTCGTCGTACGGCTCCTGGCAGTGGCGGCAGCGGCGCGGCAGCGGCCGCCGAGTCTCCACCCGGCGCTTGCCGCTCTTGCTGGGCAGCGGCGGCTGCGTGAGGTGCATCGTCTCGGCGTTGCGCTTCAGCAGCTCCTTCTGCTTGACCAGGTCCTCCATGGCCGGGTAGCTGTACTCGTGCTTGGAGGGCCGGTCGCGCGCGAACTGCACGTACGGGTACTCGGAGGCAGCGCTCTCGTCCGACAGCGGGCCGGTGGGAGGCGCCGAGCCGCCGCCGCCGCCGGCCGCCGGCACGGCCGCTGCCGCCGTCGGGCCGAACGCCATGCGGTGGAGCAGCGCCGACTGCGGCGAGGCGGCCGTCTGTCGCGACACGGACGAGTCGGAGGAGGAGCGGCTGTCGTACCGGTCCACCGGCAACTCCAGCGTCTGCCGGCACACCACAGCGACGGTGAGCGGACGGTAACGGGGGTGCGAACAGTAGGGGTGGTTGTATGGTCAGCTCAAGACATCTCAAACGCAACAACATAGGAGGTGGGCACAGCGTGCAGACAGGCCACACGACCAGCTGCAGACAAATACACGCACTCATGAATAGACGGCAGATACTGCAGTGGCAAGAGCCGGGAGTGGGGCAGGCGTGTATAAACTGACTGATTCGCTGACTTGACGGCGAAACAGGTACTGACTTCAGAGTACACTTCGCAGTTGTCGTATGGAAACACTGACTGAAACTGTCAAGGTGTTTTACCAAGATACGCACACTACTCCCATACTGAATCACCAACATCAATTCCTCTACCAAAGTCACATTATATTACGCCGCATTGATCTGTCCGACGCCGGACACATTCCACAGGACGCCGCTCTACCGACGACCTGCAGGCGGCGACTGCAGCTGGGGCGCGAGGCCTTAGGTGGCAGCACGTGCCCGTATCCGGCTCACCCAGACAGGCGGCCGCGGGGTCACGGAGAACGCCCACGCCCGCTGAATGGGTCCGCCGCACAGCCGTGGCCGTTGCATCACACGACAACAGTCAGCCAGACTGTTCAGCGCTGGGTACGCCAGTACAAATACATGACGCGCAACCGAACTGCGAGGACCTCGTCATCATCGTTCGTTGGGCGCTGCTGAAGCGATGAGACGCTTCAGGCGCATGTCACAGAGCGGGGGAAACGATCAATGAACGGCTTTGAACCTGGGCCCGACGCTGGGGCGGCGACTCTGCGAGCTACCACGGCCTCTGAACCAGCTCCCGGACTCACCATGAACACATCATTGTCTCCGAGATCTGGCCGGGTGACCGAGGGAGGCGGTGGCGGCGGGGGTCGGCCGTGCAGCGGCGGCGGTGGCGGCGGCGGTCGGTCGTGCGGCGGTGGCGGAGTGACGTACAGCGGAGACGAGTCCGAGTCGGACAGACCTGCGGCGGACCGGGCGGCCGTCAGCAGCGGACACGGACGGGAAACAGCACACACAGCACACAACACACACACAGCGCACAACAAACAGCACACTCGGTCACAGCTTGGAGGGGGAGCACCGGGATGGTGGGGATGGAACTAGGGAAATGGGTCACCTGCATCGCAAATCAATATCAGCCTAGTGATGAAGAATGTCATCCTGACTGCGCCCTGACATCGTTTTACAATGTTCAGTTTTCACTGAGAGTGAAGGGTGTGAATTAGGTAACAGTCAGAAAATCGCCATCAATTTCGTTCTACAGTGCGAGCCACTGCATGTAAGACACGCACAGGACGCTGGAAACGGAAAACAAAAAACGCCGCCGTGTGCAATATGCATCAACCATTTTCCCGGCGATTCGACGAGTCAGTGTATCGGTGCGTTTGGAGGGTCGGGTCGCGGGGGGCAGCCGTCAGCAGCGCCGTGCCGGCAGCGCCACTTGGCTCGGCCGTGGGCGGCGGGCAGCGCGCGGGGGCGGCCGGTCGATGGCCGTCCGGCTGCACGGTCCGACCGGGCTGCCGCCGCCGGCCCGGCCACGCCAGCGCGCCGCCGGACCCCAGACTGGGGCCTACATACGACCCCCCGGTTACAGGAGTCGTAAATTGGTAGTGCGGAGTAGCTCAAAGGCGTTGTGCGTATTGCAGAGCTGATCGAGGCACTGACGTAATGCGGTAGCTTCTCTCTTATAACTATATTCTCATGAATGGATGGATGGATGGATGGATTGATGCAAAAAAGACACCCTTTCGACATTTGGACAAGGGTCTCGAAATGATTCGCGTAGGACCAAGGGTAGGAGTAAACACAGCAGGTTCCACTGATAACTGGAGGGGGCGGAGTGGTGCAGGCTTTCAGGGTTTACAAGTATCCGACCACTGTTTCATTCATTATTCACATATACGAGTACACAGCTGACGAGATGTCTGTATCACACTATCGTTCAACTATAACACAGCACAGCATGTGTAAGGGCAGAGCAGATACGAGTGATGGCGAAAATTGCACGCGATGGACAGCAGAAAAGAGCGACACAGACAGACTGCAGTACTGCGAGAGATTACAGCTAATGAGAAAACCAAGAAACTTACCGATTGATACAACGTTCAGGTGGCAAGAGGAAAGAGAGAAGAGAAACCAGCGTTAGAGTAGGCAGTTTAGGCACGAAGTGTACGCAACACTATCAGACATAGCCACAAGAAAATGCAGAGTGCAGAGAACTGCCTAGTAAATAGTTACTTGCTTCCCACAAGAACAACTGTTACGTTGTGTACACAACAGAAGAAGTAAAAAGCAATCAGACGCAAACCACTTAGGAGAGACGAATATTACAGCTTTCTGGGTTTTGCATCTAAGAGCACAAGTGTTTTATGTCCTCACTTTTTGCGCTGTTCCAACATCAATGTCCTGCGCCGCGCCTTGCTGCGCCGCATTAGACATTCTCCCGCAACAGCGAGTGGGCGTAGAGCAAACGCGAGCACGAACAATATGATTTTACAAAGCCCCCTGGAGCCGCTAATGAAACTGAGCTGGGATGACTAAATTAAACTAGCACAGCAGCATCAGATATCCACAACACTCTTTTCATCGTAATATCAACAGATCCTAGATGAAATATTCAAAAAACGTTAGCAAAACATGGTTTTCGAGATATCTGCGTATGGTTACCAACACAAAACACATACTGAGGATACAAAAGCAATGGGTTCCAGAAATTCCTATTAGTTGTTGCTATCTGATGTCCATGGAGTGGAGACTGATCAATTAACAGTCAGTCGAGAATAACCCATCCTTGAGTTTAATGGATAATACTTGCAATCGCACCAATCGCCGGTGAATCCATTTTAAACAACCTGATCCCTGGGGCTGTCAAAACCGCTTCTTTAAAACGTTGGAAAACGATAAAGCACCCGGTGGCTTTTGTTTTGTCCTGCCCTCCCCTTCGCAAAGCATAGTGCCGAACGGCTGAACAACTGACGGGGCACCACCTCCAATGTCCCTAACCTAAGGCCAGCCAACACGAGCAACAGTGACCTTTTTGGGCACCGTGTCTGCGCGGCACCCAGACCAGGGTACCGCGCCATGTGCTAACATCTCCTGCCGCCTGTGACCCTGTCGGTACCCGGGTGAGTCACCCGCGGGCCACCGGCCGGCGCTGCGGCGCGTGTCAGGCCGTTCCCACAGGTGTATCCGGCGCCCCCGCGTCTGACCAGTCGCCTCCACCGGTGGCCGACGCCCCCAGGTGTGTGCCGCGACACGTCAGGGGACCGGCCGCTCTGACCCGCCCCACTACACCCAGAGATAGACCGCGACAAGACTACGATGTCCGACAGGGACGCGACATGCGCCTCAGCTCAGCGGGGAGCATTGCAAGACCGGCGAAAAAGACCACATTTTTGATAAGTTGGCCTGACACCACTGTATGCTGCTGATTGCCGACCAGTTCTATGCACCGATTAGTGTCATCAATACATAAGCTTGGTGACCGAACGGCACCGAATGCGTAGATATCGTTGAAAGTAGGCGTCTCGTGCAGTGTGTCTACGGTTCAGGACTCGTACTCTTTTTTTCAATGTTTTGAAGCACTGTGGAGACCTGATACATATACTAGATAATGGTAATTTAAAATGGTAGAACAATTTTGTAGCCATGTGAACGACTAAGTAGCGCATTTAGGTAACGTATTTCAATACGTTTCGAATGTGGAGCACAAGCCGTGGATACCACAGCATTAGTGTCCCTATTCTTTTCTAAATTTACTCTGACAATGTCCCACTCGCGATAACCTGCCTCAGCAACGAACGAAAACAAGTCGAGACGGAGCGGGGTGGCACGGTAACCGTCACCTCAAATACGCCACAGTATAAACTTATATAAACCTGGATACAGGTATTTCTTAGCGTCCGTGACGACAAGATTATCGAGTAATGCTCGCGAACCGTCCAATCATCACCCGACAGCAACTGCAGACACAAATAATAAATACCCTGTCCCTTCGATCACCCTGAGCCCGACCACGACAGGCGTGGAGACGGGTCGGGAGTCGACGACTCACGGACGGACAGAAGGGCACACGGACAGAGACAATGTTAGACGGACGGACGAGAAGACGGACAGGCAGACGGATCGCGGACCGAAGGGTGGATAGACCGATTACGGACGGACGGGTAGACGGACGGGCAGACGGACCAGAAGACGGATAGACAGGGTAGACAAGGTAGACGGACGGACGAGCGAACGGACATACAGAAAGAAGGACGGTCAGACAGACAGATAGACAGACTGCCAGACAGAAGGGCAGGAGACGTACCGTCTAGGAGCTCCTGCACAGCCTGACGCACGCCGCGGTCGAATGACAGACAGACAAACACACACAGACAGAGAGACAAACTGGCGGACAAACAAAAAGGACAGACAGACTGACGGATGGACAGGCTGACTGTTGGACTGACTGACAGCAGACGTACCGTCTAGGAGGTCCTGCACAGCCTGACGCACGCCGCGGTCGAATGCTCGCGCGTCGGCAGCCGTCTGAAAGGTGAGGCCGAATTTCTTCTCGCCAGTCTTCCAGTGGTGGAATGTCGGCATCACCTTGTGGTACACAAAGTCCTTCTTGATTGTGCAGTTTAGTACGGACTGTGGACACACAGGGGCGAGGGTGGTGTCAAAACAGGAGGGCTGGCCACCGGTTCTGGTAGGGGGCTGAGTGATTTTACCTCTACAGGAACACACGAGAACATCCTGATAGTTGACAGCTCTGTTACCAAGTAAAGTAATCTTGATGTTACAGACCACACTGGCATAAAGCGAGGAGCAGGGCAAGACTTTCGCTGGTAAGCAACACGCACGTTCGGAGAGCGATGCCACTAGAATGGCTAACGTCAGACTACACAGCACTGGGGGCGACCGAACACCTAGTGCTAGATGTGAGGCACCGTACAGCAAGTGTTTCAGCATTTACACACTGAAAACCCGCAAAAATAATTGCTTATGTACAAGATCGTATCAGGCCCATTTTCCTGGCAAAACACTGCCAATCAATCGGGGTAGGTAACTATGACCGTGTAACAGCAAACCTGTGCATCAGTGTAAATATGATGTTTTATACAAGCTTTTTACTGGAGCATGCATGTGTTCAGCAAGGTAATCATTTCGCGCTACTAGCGTTACATGATTAAGCCCAGAGCATATATGTCAGGGAATAACCATTAACCAGCAGACTAGAAAACAGGCTAGTTCGTCTTCTGCCGATTCCGGGCCAGGGATTTGTAGTTATTGAGGTACATACCAGCATAATCAATTTTTCCCCTAACATTGCACCAGCGTTTGGACCTCATCACTCTCCACCCTGTTCTCCTGCTCTGCCCCGTGCCCCTCTTCCCGTGACATGTACAGTAGACGCCTCAGCACCGAACCCCAGGACCTATACTGAACGGACCCCACCCCATGCATGTCCTGGCTATCTCGGCAGACCTGTAGACAGGCGGGCAGAGGACAGGTAGGACGGCAGGACACACAGCCAGGTAGGCGGCCGGGCGGGAGCCGGGCAGGGAGGCGCGGCGGCGGCCATCGATTTTCAGCCGGTGGGTGACGGGTCGGCTGCCATCTGGCGGCCGTCCCGGTAGGTGGCTCCACCTGTGCCGGGCCGGCGACCCTGGCAGCCAGCCCGGTATGGAGACGAGCCGACGAGCTACCGAGGCTCGGCAGCAGCCAACGTGACAGAGACGAGTCTCACAAATGCACCAAGAACGTCTGAATAAATGGAGGTGTTTATTGATGCATTTTCTATACATTAGACTGGCAAAAAAAAAAAACGTTGAAACGAAAAAGTTTTAAAAAACCTTTCCGAATCCAAAACCAGGTCCGTGCCTTGTAACTGGTGAGGCGGTTGCTATTATCGTCATCATGACAGTCTCGCGCAATATTGTTGTGGCAATGTATGCGCACATTAGAACTCAAGACTCGAAGTTGTAACGAACTTCCCGAATAGGGAATCCCGATAAACATATAAATAATCAAATGCAATAACTAAATGCCAATGTCGAATGGCGACCTAAAAGGTCAAAGGTTATCACTAACCAGTAGCCTTGCGTGTGAGCACTAAGCAACTCAGCACGGGTTCTGGACTAAAAGGCCATCATACTGAAAATAAGTTATAGCCAGTTTCAACAAAGTAAATGTATGGGGAGTCGCAAAGAGGAGCGCGAGTGCAATGTTACTTCTAATGTAACGTAAACACATTGTTCGCTAAGACAGCAACAATTTTATTTTTGATATAGGTACATATTGCTATTACTGCGATGATTCAGGAAACAAGCAATGATCTTGACCTACGGTATACTAAAAGACCACGAAGGAACTTTTTACATTTGCATCATGCATCATAATGCATCATTGAATCACCGGCTGGAAATATTTAACGTGAAATACTCAGGACAATCGCATGCTTAACCAGCGCCCTGGTGGGGTCCGTTTAGGTATAACGCGACCTGGTGGGGGGGCTATTTTTGCCCCCTCTCCCTCGTATCTCCGAAACTAATGGACGGATCCGCAAAATTCAAACGGCGTTCGAAAGCCCTATCAAATTTGTCCAATTAAATCCAATTAAATTGAACTCGGGGTCACCGATGACGTCACAGGTCAGGTCAAAGATAAAAAGTTTTGCCGGTCACGGGTCTTCTATGGAATGCGCTATAACATCGAGTAAAACGCATTTTATCGAAAATCAGCGATAGGACGTCAGTTGCCTAGTACATATGTTGCTATTAGAGGTCATTGATAATACCAGGTCAGGTCACAGGTCAGGTCACCAAGGGTCAGCACATGAACCCAATTTTACTAGGGCTGTGTGATGCATGTTTTATGGCACATAATTTTTCATTTCAAACTCAATGGTGTTGGTTATAAGACCACCAGGAACGGTTTAGGTCACTTCCTGGTGGTTAGGTCAAAAAAGGTAAAAAGGTCAAATTTCAAAGTTGATATTTTTGCATAAAATGGGTATTGATTCGATACAGCTCGTCACGGGGAGTCTAACGGTGGCCTTTGTTCTGTGCTACCAAGTCTAGAATTGCTAAAAATTGAGTTTGAAAGCTTTACGTCATCAATCTTGAACAGTTTTTTTCGCTATAACTTGGCCAAAAAGAGGTATCAATCTGAAATGTGGTATGTGAATAAAAGTCGGTAAGGGCTATCACATATATTCCGTTTTTTTTCGAAAATCGAAAATTTGTTTGAATTTTTTGGCGATTGTAATGATTTTTGGGGGTGAAAAAATCCGAGATAGCAGTTATGTAGCCCTGCTAATTTTATACCTTTTATGTCTTACACGTTTTTCTGTATCTTCAAAGCTATAGGCCTGACAGTTCTTACCGCGAAACCTTTTTTTGGGGTCGAAAACGGCAGAACATTACTTCACTCTGACGTCATTTACAGCCAACCTTTCATAGCCTTTGGAAAAAAAAATTAGTTACAAGCTACAATGTGTAAAATTGATGCCCGGGAGGGTACTGAAAGTTTGGTGACGATCGGCGCAGCGGTTCTGGAGATATATCTAAAAGTCTGGAGGGGGCGCAAGGCGCCACGTTACAGGGGCAAAAAATAGCCCCCCACCAGGGCGAGGGTGAATGAAAATGTTTTAATTAAAAACTAATAAACGCCTGCTAACTAATTGCTTGCCTCAACTGTTCGAAAAACCGGTCGGAATAACAAACATGACACTTTTTGGACAACGAAAGAGCGAGCGCAATATCGAGTCATGCGCTTACGCACGTGTAAAATGAGACTGCAACTGATCAGCTCGGTTCATATCTCTGTTCTTAACGACGTGCTGACTTTGAGCGCAATCGGTCCAGCCGTTCCAAACTGCAAAAACGACAACTGTACGTGCGCACGTGCGGAGTGAGATTCTGATATGTGCGGCCCACCCTTCTAGCTAGTACCATACGATTTACCGAATTTGAGAGTAATTGGTCTAACCGTTCTTGAGATGTAGAAACGGCACTCTGGACGTGCACAAATGAGGCTGCCCTTCTAGGCAGTCATCAGCGGTGTACTAAACTTAGCGCGTTCGACCCAGCCGTTCGTGAGAAGCAGAAACAGCCCCTGCACCTACGCACGTGCAGTAGCACCCCAACCAAAACACATGGAAGAGCATCGCCCGATAGGTTCCCGCTATATGTAATGTATACCCAGTTTGAGTGTGATCGGTCCAGTCACTGTGTAGTTACGTAAGCTGAACAATTTTTCCTCTGTGATTTGACAAGTGGCACATGTCACCTATACGAACCACGTATCAGTGTGTCCAAAATTGTAATGTTGCGGGGAAATTCACCCATAGTGAAAAGTGTAATGACATCCTAAAAATGTAAATAAAAACATCCACACGGCAGTCACGACTTATAATAACAACCTCGAACCCAAACGTCTAGGAGCAAGGGCAACACAAACCTCGCAAACCCTCACAACACGCTAAGACAATCATTCGAATAACCAAAATGTTCAAATATATGACCCGAACCTCATTTCCCTTCCATAATATAAACCATAATATAAACCATAATATAAACCTCATTTGACATCCCGAATATCAGAACGTCTTCAACGTTTTATCAGTATTTTTATGTTCCTACATCATTTTCTGGTGACATAAATAAAAAAACAGTGCTTAACCCGGCGGCCACTGGGCCTCCGCGCCACCCGCCGGCCGCTGGGGGGGGGGGCATATAGTTGCCCCCCTTTACTTCTGCGACGATATCGTCGCAACGCGAAGAGATAGAGAAGCGAAACTTTGTACACATCTTCCTGAATACCTAGCCGAGGTTGTGTCCAAATTTGGTGTCGATCCCATTTGAAATGACGTCACAGTGACGTCATAAGTGAAATCATAGATTTGCGACTCTCATATTCCTCACGATACATCAGATATATGGGACCGAATATAAAGGGTCGATTATTGGTCAGAAACTAGATGGAAGTGTAGTTAGATGTTTTAGGATGACAGCAGGTGCTGTCTAGTTCATTTACAGTTGAGTTTCATGCTCAGCGTTATGAGAAACGGTCCATATCGGAAAACGACAAAACTTAATGACGTCACTGTGACGTCATGACGTCACTGTGACGTCATCTTAGGTGCTACAACCACCAAACTTTCCTCAAACATTGCCTAGGTATTCATTTGAAGCTATGCCAAGTTTCACGTTCGTAGCTTATCAGGTTTCGGAGATTTTCACAAAACGTAAAGGGGGGCAACTTTATGCCCCCCCCCCCCCCAGCGGCTCGTGGGTTAAAAAGGGTAGAAGTCAAGTTTTATGGAAATAACGACATCTTTTTCGACCTTTTTTCTACATCCTCCCCCTAACGTAAAATGAATTTAGCCACACTGCCACGTATTGAACTCATGATTGAAATGATGGGTCATCTTACGCAACAGGCCACCGATCGATAGAACGGTTGTCCTAGTGTTACGAAATCGTCACGGGGCTGGGTTGGGTCGCACATGCGAAGATTTCCCCTCATCCAAAGAAAGACTCGCTCGTTTGTTCGCTCAGCACGGGCAACGAAAAGTCAGATTTGGCAAGAGCGTTAAGCGCCTCGAACTACCTTGGAGCCACACTGTTCAACGTAGGCTGACCAGCGCGACAACCTGGGCTTAGAGCCAATTAACTACCCAACCGGGCCGCCTCATCCCGCAGTGCATCACCCCAGCGCTGCTGCGTATATCCCGACCCCAAACACCCGGCACCGGTCTCGGTGGTTCCCCAGTGGACCCGGTGGCCACGGCACCCCCGCTCTCCGTTCCGCCCCGGCTGGAGTGGCCGTCTCTGCCAGCACGGCGTCATCCGCCCGCCGCCGCTTTCAGTCGGCAAAGGTCAGCGGCGCTCCTTCCGACACACAGGGAGCACGTGGCGGGTGACCACAGCACCTGTACGGCTACGATATGTGCACCCTCCTGATCCGCCCGTCCCCGATCAGCAGACGTACCCGCGCTCGTCAGTAACTAATGACAGAAGTCAGGTGGAACTTGGAAGTAACGCCGAAACCGTCCATCATTACTTGCTGGTAAGTCAGTACCTCGTACAGTTCCTGTGCAATATAAGACTCAATCGCGCCTCTGGAGAGCAAACAGAGATTACATCTGTTGTATGAGTACAATAGTTTCGATTTTCAATATTCATGTTATATATAGATCAGCTAGTTTGAATAAAAAAAAATGACTGTGGCCAGTGTGGGTTCCATAGGATGCATCTGGACACCCTTGGTAATGGGTCCGCTACGTACGAATCACAGCATACACAACAAATCGCTTTCCAGATAAGCACTCTGTCGTACTAAGATACAGAAAATGATGCAAAAAAAAAAAAACGGGCCAAGTTTGCCTGACAAATATCACATCGACAGCGTTTTCATAAGGAGCATCCTATCAAAATAAGCACCATTGTGAGCGAGCACGTGCAAAGTCTGACTTTAACTCTAACTGCTTGTGCAATGTGAATTGTGCAAGTCACTCATCGACCCAAGTCACTCATCGGCCTCAATGTGCAAGTCATACGCCGCTCCTAAAAGCGTAGCACTTTTTAGCGCAATTGGCTCATCCGTTCTGAAGACGAAGCAGCGGTCTCTGTGCGCAAGCAAGTCAGTAGCACCCTTTACTGTGATACATCAAAATGCGTCGCCCAATGCGCCCAATGGGTGTCCAGTGTCCACTGTGAGTACTGTCCAACGACGAGCCATGTTTCATGTAATTTCAAGTGTGATGAACAAAATGAGGAGAGCGGGGTTAATGGGCATATTGTGTGCCTGAGCACAATTCGTGCCTACTTATTGCCGACTTAGTTTGCGCTTTTTAAAAGCGTATTGATATTAAATATCAAAATATCAATACATATTAATGCGTTTGAAATTTGAATATCAAATTCTTAAGTTTTCAGTTTTTTTTCACGAATCGGCAAGCCCAAATCGTACGTTCACCATATGTTCTTGAGTCGTCAAGAAGGCATCGTGAAAAAACGAAGATAATTATTTGCAGGGTTTGCATGCACATCACAGGTATGGTGTTAGGTGTAACCAGCCAGTACTACACGCGTGGACCGGCCCGCGCCGTTCTGTACTCACCACCCCGTCGTTGATGCGCTTGCCGAAGATGATGTACTCGGTCTTGGGGTGATCGGCATTGACGTGTTCATAGCGAGGGTGTCGCTTTCGGACGGAGACCTTGGAGAGTCCCCAGCCGCCCATGGGCAGCCAGCCGCCCATACTGTCGTCCCGCATCATCACCTGGGCCTGAACTAGTACCAAGCTGCCGCCGCTGAAACAGAACGAGGGGACACGTCAGTCAACCTGGGTCTGAACGAGTACCATCATCACCTGGGCCTGAACTAGTACCAAGCTGCCGCCGCTGAAACCAAACGGGGAGGGGGTATATCAGTCACCCTGGGCCTGAACGAGTACCATCATCACCTGGGCCTGAACTAGTACCAAGCTGCCGCCGCTGAAACCGAACGAGGAGGGGAAACGTCAGTCACCCTGGGCCTGAACTAGGACCATCATCACCTGGGCCTGAACTAGTACCAAGCTGCCGCCGCTGAAACCGAACGAGGGGAAACGTCAGTCACCCTGGACCTGAACGAGTACCAAGCTGCCGCCGCTGAAACCGAACGGGGAGGGGGCACGTCAGTCACCCTGGGTCTGAACTAGTACCAAGCTGCCGCCGCTGAAACCGAACGAGGAGGGGAAACGTCAGTCACCCTGGGTCTGAACGAGTTCCATCATCACCTGGGCCTGGACTAGTACCAAGCTGCCGCCGCTGAAACCGAACGAGGAGGGGGAAACGTCAGTTCCCAGCGGGCATAGAGTGCTCTAGGGTACCGATTGCAGGGTGCTGGGGCACCAGCGAGCACAGCGCGCCCTGCTTCCATCACACAACCCAAAGACGCCCCAGACGACACAACAAACAAACCACACAGCAGAGAACGCAGGTGTCCACACAGCGGTCAAGAGTGAGAAATCTTAATTATAAAAAACGCCAAGATCATCAAAGACGCTTGTTGCGGCCTTCAGTGATCGAGAGTCTCGTAGGTCAGATGAATGAGGTTGGGACAGGCGAGTCCCTGGTTCCGAAGAACACCTCTAGGCTCTACGGTCACGTTTAGTCCATTCACACATCGGCCGCCACACCTATAAATTACCTTGGGTCGATCCACGGTCGAAGTTTCACAGTAGCAGCAGAAGCGCACAAGAACGATCGATCACAGACTACTTCTATCATCGAAAGGATCCTGCTAACTGTGGGAGACGAGCCCCGACACCAGCGGAGGCAGACGTGAAGCCGCTCTGGTTGGCGCGTAAGAGCACAACGAAAGCAAGCACCACTGTCCCTCCCGTCTCGTGCTGAGGCCCCGTAACCACAGTGATGCAAATGGGGTTCACGAGTGGCCATAAATACGAAAAAGGCCCAAAATTCAAGTTCACTTAATCGAATAAATCGTAATATGGTCAGTCAGGCAAATGTTTGGGGTGTCTGAAAAAGTATGATTTTAATGTTTTTGTCAAAACCGGCCTCGTGTAGGATTGTCAGAAGTCGAGACATTTTCGATGTCGTAAAAATGACTGTCAGGTACTTGAAATTCAAGTGCCGCTAGCGTGCGTGCATGTCATACAAACTGCAAAAATTATACATGAAAATGATCCCCGAAACCTGCTGCTTCTAATGCCACGTGATAAAAAGCCGTATCTATTTTTTTTTTGACGGTGAGCTAACTATTTGTAATCATGTTGCAACCGCAGTTTTTTAACAAAAATATTTGCTTTCAATTCACCTACAGCACTTCACACAATGTGTGCCCGTTAGTGCACCATATCATAGCATTCCCTAATCATTTCTGAGTCGCATCGTGAAAGAATTAAGGCGCTAGCACAGGGCTGACCGGCGCTACAGAAGTTTTCGTCCGGTACAGTCGGGTGCCGCGGCGCAGCGGGCGGCCCGGGCGGCCGCGCCGCCCGGACGCCGCGCGGCGGCACCCACTCGCCCACTGCGCGCCCACTGCGGCACCCGACCGCCCGGACAAAAACCTCTGTAGCGCCGGTCAGCCCTGTGCTAGCGCCTTAATTCTTTAACGATGCGACTCAGAAATGATTAGGGAAGGCTATGTTATGGTGGACTAACGGGCACACACTGTGTTAAGTGCTGTAGGTGAAACGAAAGCATTTTTTTTTCTTAGTAAAAAACTGCGATTGCAACATGATGATAAATAGTCAGATTACCGCCAAAGCGAATGAGATACGGCTTTTTGTGACCCGGCATTAGAAGCAGAAGGCTTTGGGGATCATTCTCATGCATAATTTTTTCAATTTGTACGAAATGAACGCAAACCAGCGGCGTTTGAACTTGCGAGTGTCTGACCGTCATTTTACGACCTAGAAAATGTCACAACTTCTGACGATTATACACGAGGCAGGTTTTGACAAAAACATGAAAACCATGTGATTTCAGATGCCCCAAACATTTGTCTACTCGGCCATATCGCAATTAACTCAATTTGGTAAACCTGACTTTTGGGTATTTATGGCCACTCGTGAACCCCATTTGCATCACTGTGGTAACGGACATCGCCGTGCCGTCACACCGTCACGTCTCTTACGTCACAGCGTCACGTCCCACACCGTCACGTCAGGGTTTCCGCCGGCCACGCCCACCGTCGGAGAGCGGCCAATGGGGCGGCCGCCATGGCGGAAATTCTGCCGCGGCAAGATTGAAATAGCCCAGCCAATTTCCGAATTACGGCGGCTTATGAGGCCGGCCGGGCGGCACACGGGCCGCCGGGAGCGCCGCCCAGAATACCGCCCCCGCCCCCAGCGCCGCCCCCGCCCCCGCACCTTTAGACAAGGCACACGGCCGACCGATATCCAATTCAGATATCCACTAGTCGGGGAAATGTGAATGTCAGGGGGAGGACGCTCGACAAGGTCTGAAATCTGAATATTGATTGAGCACCTAAATAGCAAAATGATTTTGGTTTTGTGCAAACAATCTGTTTTGTTGTTGAGCCGCTCATCGAAATAAGTCGTCAATGAGACATCAGTAGATTCAAGCGTTAGCAAAGTATGTTTCAATAGCCCGTATCAGCAAAGTCTGTGTCCGTGTGAGGAGTGAGGCTACGTTCTTCTTGCTCACTCTGATCATCGGCGACGAGAAGCTTTGCATAAACGCATGTTCACTGTTCAGCTTTGCCGCATTTGGATGGCAACCGATCAGCCAGTTCCATCTGATGAGCCGCATGACTGAGACAGCTGCTTTAGTTACGCTGAGACTGAGAGCAGCCTTCACCCATGAAAAGGAAAAGACAGCATCACAAGGAACACAGAGCAGTTAGCGCTGACATACAAGCTCTGCCTAACATTGACATGACAGAAGACCGAGTGAGGAACTGAGTCTGGCTTCCATTGGCATCCTGAGCTTATCTGCATCTAAAGGACAATTCCAGAGGACAATGATGTCTTCATCTAGTAGTCACATTTGCTGATGACTCCGTGGTCAAAACTGGTACATGTGTGGCATATCATTTATTTATGAAGCTTTCAAAATCACTGACCCTTCTTTACCTGACCTTGACCTTAAGCACGGGTATAACTTCAGCACTTATGCATAGCTGTTTCAACTTTCAGCGCTTCGTCATTATCTAACACAAAAATTGGGCTCAACATCATTGACACTGCAATCGCTAGAGCCCAAAATGCGGAGAGGCCCTATTTGACCTTTGTTTTGACCTTAATCAGTCATGTGACCTAAAAATTTCAACTGCGTCTGGATGAGACCTTTCTAATTGACTCGCTGCGATGCTTATGGCTTGGTTTTGTAGATTTGAGGATGGTGCTGTAACTGCTATACGCCCCCCCCCCTCCCCCTCAGTCAATGACGTTTCATTGGCTAAAGGCTCAGACAGTCAGGTGCGGTTTGAAGTGTACAAGATAGCGGTCGCAGTGGAACCAAAAGCAAGGGATAAAGGACTAGTCCGAAGAAAGACTATCATCAGCGATTCCTTAGTGTAGAGTAGACCCTACTGCGGCGAGATAGGGTAGGGTGGATATGGGGCATACTGAACTGGAGAATATTACAAGTAAGCCGTATCGGCTTCGACTGAAGGCGACACTTCGCGGCTTACAAAGCTCAAACAATCTCACAAAGCGCAACTTCACAGACGGGATGACCAATGCCAGCTGTGAATCGGTTCCAGAGCGGCAGAGCAGGTTCCTCTCTGATCTACCGAGGTCGCTAAAACAGTGAGAACTGAGACTCCCGTCGGTCTACCTACTTGGCATGGCTGCAGCCACTGGATGTCGAGCTGGAGCTGGACAAGTGTCGCAGATGGCGCCGCACTTTGTCACTGATGTCCAGCATGGTGTCAGCACTGTGGGCCATGGCGCGTGGTGCGCACCATGGCGCACCACGCCCGCACACCTCACGCACACACACCAACGAGCCAGCGGCGGCAGCGGCGGCGGCGGCGGCAGCGGCGCCGCCCGTGCCGGCCGCCGCGCCGCTTCCGGGCCGACTGTTTCCGCGCGGGGGGCCGGCCGAGCGGGCGGCCGGCCGGCCGAGTATCGACCGGCGGCGCGCCGCCGCCGCCGCCGCCGCTGCCGCCAGCACCGCCGCCCATTCATGACGGCGGCCAGGTGGCGGACGACGCGCACCGGCCGCCCGCCGGTATGGCGGCCGGTCGGACCGGGAGACCGACGGGCCGAGACAGGGGGCCGTGGGTCGGACGGGTCACAGAGCCCGTGACGGACCAGACTCTCCGGCCCAGCGCTGACCCGCGCGGCGCCGCCCCCACCGCGCATACCGGGGCCGGCCGAGTGGGAATCGGGTCCGTACAGCCGAGGAATACGCCGCTAGAGACGGGAGAGCGGGATAACACCGCGGCGAGGATAACACAACAGGGATGACATGTACGGATAACACTACAAAGACGGAGAAGAGAGCTGGGGATAACACCGCTGACCAAACCAAGTGACCAGTTTACGCGCTGCTATCACCGCCGCCGCCACCGAGCAATTTCAGAGATCCTTGTGTTCGATAATTTGATGAGATTGCTCGAAAACCGCACAGCCCTGCAACGTTCCTACGCATCGTTTCTCCGCCAGGGTTGATAGAAAATGCCTTCCGAGATGGACACAGGATACTAGAAATATAATGTCGGACAAACCAGCCCAAAATGCAGCGTGCGACCACCATTGTCCCTCAATTTTGTGGCATCCTGCACCGTGGCGATGGAAGGCGATTTACGCTCTCTTTCCTCAGTTTCTGACATACATTACAAAAAAGATTTTCGCGCACGCGAAAAAAAAAATAGACAATGATCACCTGACATCAGATCACCAGGTCAGTCATACAGCCTTGACAACACATTCACGGTGTTTGATCAACAATATAGACCGATGCAGGTATGACGTTTTTCATCGAGGTCACGACCTTGACCTGACGTCGGATTTTCAAGTCCGCTCTTTCCGTGCCTTTGCGGCGGTCCGACCGCAACACGTCAAGGAAGAAAGGACGCTTTTATGGCGCAAATCCAACTCGGCTCTCGGGCCATGTAGGTAGTGACGGTAGTTAGAAACACCAGTCATTTATAAGGTCCTGCGTCAGCAAACCAAA